TATTATATGCTATTGAAATTCTTTTTATAGGACTATGCCACAATCATATTAAGCCTCTGTTATCTGCCATCTCTCCTGATCTGGCTTTCCCTGCAGAATTTTAATTGATGAAGTGTTTGAAACCTGTGAAATTCCCTTTTCTAAAATCTTGGATACATGTCAGACATGACTAACTTTCTTCTCCATTGTAGACTCTGGGAGGGAGCTGGTCACTTCACTGCAAGGCTCCTATCCTTTCCACATTGCAGTCAATTTTTCCAGTTAGTAACAGTCAAACACAAAGTTTCCTCTTGTTAACTTCGCCAACTTTTCTAGGACTCAATTATCATTAAGGAAAATCAAGAAGCTCTTAGCTCTTCTATTTGTTGTAGAGAGCTTTTTTTTTTCTTTTTTAGGCAATTGGGTTTAAGTGACTTGCCCAGGGTCACACAGCAGGTGAGTGTTAAGTGTTTGGTCCAAGGCCTCATTTGAACTCAGGTCCTCCTGACTTCAGGGCCGATGCTCTATCCACTGCACCACCTAGCTGCCCCTTGTGGGGAGCTTTCTAATAAAAGTCTGGCTAATTGAAGTCCATCACTAATCTGTCGTGCCTCCAAGGGAGGATGGGTGATTCAGTGGAAAGAGGTCTGGATCTGGCATCAGAAGGCCTGGGTTTAAATCCTGGCTCTGCTATTTACTGCCTATCTGACTTTGGGGAAGTCAGTTAACCTCTCTGGGCCTCAGTTTTACTCATCTGTTAAATGAGGAAGTTTGACAAGATGAACACTAAGGTCTCTTCTAGCTCTAAATCTGCGGTCTGCTAAGACCCCAGAAGAGTGAAGATGAAGCCAGCTACCCACTTCCTGACAGAGAAATGAGGGACTCAGAGTAAAGAATGAGACATGTTGCAAGGATACGGCTACTAGGGAAATTTGTTTTGCTTGACTATGCATAATTTTACGAGTTTTATTTTTTTAATAGGGGAAGGTAGAAGAAAGGTAGAAGGGCAGGAAAACATTTTTGTTCATTGAAAAATTTAAATTTAAAAACATCTACAATCCTATAATCTTTTCCAAATTCTTCATCTAGTTCCTCTTTCTATCCAGGTGGTACATAGTAAACTCTAATGATAAAATTGCTTCCATTTCTCCCTCCATTGATCTTTATCCAAATGATTTTGGCTACACTTTTCTACTCTGGATCCTGGATTTCCTCGCATGATTATCTATAGTTAAATATTCAGTGGCACCCACTCATACCTCCTTTTATTTGTCCATTAAAAAAATAATAAAATGTGTCAGTCCAGAACCATACTTCAGTCATAGGTTTCATCCCACTAAATCAGTGTTACAGATGAAATCAACTTTGCTTCCTTGCATTTTTTGTTGTTGTTGTTATTGTTGTTCGATCGTTCAGTTGTGTCTGACTCTTTGTGATCCCATGGACTGCAGCATGCCGGGCCATTCTATCCTCCAGTATCTCCTGAAGTCTTTCAAAGCTCCTGTTCAGTGCTTCCATGACACTATCTATGCATCTCATCCTTTGCTGTCCCCTTCTCCTTTTTTCTTCAATCTTTCCCAACATCAGGGTTTTTTCCCCCAGTGAATCCTGTATTCTCATTATGTGGCTTCAGTATTTGACCTTCTATTGAATAGTCTGAGTTAATTTCTTGACTGTTAAAGTCTTGACTGATTTGATCTTCTTGCTGTCCAAAGGTCTCCCAAAAGTCTTTTCCAGCACCACAATTGGAAAGCGTCTATTCTTTAGTGCTTGGCTTTCCTTATAGTCCAATTCTCACAACCATACATTGCTACTGGAAAAATCATAGCTTTGACTATATGGCCCTTTGATCATATACCCCTAATGATTCCTTGCATTAGAACCTCTCATTCCTTTAATTTGTTGTCTAAACTTTTGGTATCTACCTATGGACACATGAAGCCAGGAGTTTTACTCCTGACTTCTTTATTGGATTGTGTGTCCTTTGTCTTAATTGCTCTTTTCTCCTTCACTATAGCTACCTCTCTATTGTACTGTATCTAGCTTGATGAACATACATAGGCAGACTTCTCTTTCGTCTTTTTAAATTGAACACCCTTTTGATTACATTTGCAAGACACTTGGCAAATAACCTTCTAACCTGTTAGGTACCCTCCATCCTTGTCCAGGAGACTGTCAACCCCATATTGTTATGTTCCAGAAATCCAAGTCCTATTTGATTCCTTGGCAAGTATTTCACCTTTAAAATTTTTTTATATTTTTAATATTTTTGTGTGTTGTTGTAGATGTCTGTCACGGCAGTATAAATCAACTATGCAGAAAGAATTGCCTTCTGATTTGAAAGATTCTATCCATTCTTAAAATTTCAGGAAATGTGATTTATGATTCAGTATTTCTGATATTGTGGGGGCCATTGATGCAGATATGTCCTGACTTTTCCACACACTTTTGGTTTTTCCATGACCTTAGAGTTCTGTATCTCCACTAAACACTAATGTCTCACAGAACCTAAGAGTTGGAAGGAAACCTACACATGAATTTAATCCAACTCCTATCTTTCTCTACAATTCTTTCTCTAACACCACTTACTTAAGTCATGTTATTTCTACTTATCTAGTTCTTCAGTAAGAGGGGACCCACTGCCCCCTAGAGGAATGCATTTCACTTTTGGAAAAAGTAGCTCATTTCTAAATACAACTTTTTTTTTTTAGCTTCTGCATTCCCTGCCTTTACTGGGAAAGCAGTAAGGTAAATACACCTTGTCTCCTTAATGGTCTTTAGTGCCTTATTCATGACTTCATAACCATTGGCAATAGTTTCTGGGCTCCTGACAGTATCATTAGCGCCCATGTCCATTACCACAAGTCAACTATTTTGACAAATCTTCAATCTGTTTATTTCTTGGATCTGTGCTCCAGGAAATGATGAAAACCTTGGAAATAAATGACCACTCTATCTTAGAATTCATTACAGAGGAGAGAAAACTGGACAAAATGACATCCCTTATGATTTTGTAGAGCAGATTTTAAAGGGTTCAGAGAAATAGGTAGAATCCTAGGGACTAAATTCTGCAGGATGTCAGCTCAAAACAATGAGAAGCTACCAAGAATGAGATTCTGAAGACTTAAGCAGAAAATTGTGTTAAGGAGAAAGGAAAACTGTCTAGATGGAGATATGTGATTCTTCAAAAATCTGAGTTGGTCAGTGATTTCCATGTGTAAGGCCAAACCACTTTAACCTTTCTTTTGATTTTGGTTTCTTCTTTCCTGTCAAAGAGAATAGTCTCTGGATTCAAAAGGACATACAAAAACTGTCTGATAGGGAGCGGAAATCAAGATCATAGGTAGATAGTGCCTGGCTGCCTTTGATGAGTTCAAGTCACCAGGCCATATTAACTACATCCTAGCATACTAAAATCACAAGAGGGGCCGTAGGATAGTAGAAAGGTAAAGTGTCTAGTGGAACGCTCCAAGGATCCTTGCTTGGCCCTCACTATATTGTTTAACATTTTTGCCAGTGACTTGGATAAAGGTATAGATGGCATAATTATCAAATTTGCAAATGGTACAAAACTGAAACAGATAGCTAACAGGTTAAGAATAAGAATCCAAAAAGTTCTCAAAAGTCTGTAACATTGGATTAATAATTATGGATTAATAATGGATAAATAGGATGAAATTTAACAGGGATGAATACAAAGTCCTATACTTGGGTTAAAAAAAAAATCAGTTTCAAAACGCTATTCACATCCAGAGAAAGAACTGTGGAATCTGAATGGGGATCTAAATATACCATTTTTTTTTGTTTATTTCTTCTTTCTCATGGTTTTTCCCTTTGGTTCTAATTCTTCTTTACAACATGACTAATGTGGAAATGTTTAATATGACTGCACACATATAGCCTATATCAGCACGCTGTCTTGGGGAGGGAAGAGCGGAAGGAGGAAGAGAAAATTTAAAAGTCAAAATCTTACAGAAGTAAATGCTGAAAACCAAAACCAAATAGATAAAAAAAAATTTTTAAGTCAGTTTCATAAATATGAGATGCAATAGATGTGATTATACAATTCATCTTCAAGTTCAATATGAGTCAGAAATAAAAAGAAAACCTATATGAAATCAGATTGTGTTGACAAGTATAGTGTCAAGAACATTGTGCCCTGATTAGAACTTGTCTGGAGTATTGTTTTCAGTTCTGGGTATCATATTTTAAGAAAGACAAAACAAGAAACCATAAAGACAGCTAAGACTGTGAAGCACCTAGAGATAATACCTTAGGAGGAGGATGTGAAGGAAAAAGGGATGAACCCTGGAGAAGACATAGGGAACACATTTTAGCCATTTTCAAGTATCTTCAAGTATCTGAAGGTCTGAAACATGGAAAAGGGATTAAAGGAATCCTGCTTGACCCCAGAGGGAAGAGTGACAGATTTAGGGTTGATGTAAAGGAAAACCTTCCTAACAATTAGAGGCTGTATAGAAGTAAGTATAAATTTTCAAGCAAAGACGAAGATCTTTTGAGTGGCTTGGACAGGGAATTCATGTTTAGGTATAGTTTAGGCCAGATAAACTCACATCCCTTCCAATTCAAGATTCTATGAAATGGCTTCTAGTTTCCAATACTTTAACAGCCTTAAATGAACATTATTCTCCAGGGAATAGTGTATAGGGGACAGTTCTGGCTTGTGGAAATGTGTAGGGAGAAGATGGCAAATCAAGGAGTCATGTACTATATATATAGTGTGTCCCAAAAGTCTTAAGTGCTAAGCTTTATACTATTAAAGCTTAAAACTTTGCAGTTTTAGGCTATTATTCTGTTTACTTTGCCATCGTCAGCTACAAAAGCTTAAATCTGCACAAGTTTACACCAAGACTTTTGGGACACCCTGTATTATAGGCAGTGAACAAGTAAAAATCTCTCACCAAATAATGAATTCTATGACTGACTGACTTTTAATGACTTTCTGGATTAAATGCCACCTGTAATATGTATTTCTAATTATATCAACTTTGGGATTTCAGAACCCATCACCATGCACTTACAGATGCTTATGGAAGTTGTCCCGCCAGAAGAAGATCTCAACTAACATTTGATTTTTAATACATCGAGCCACGTAATGTATTTTTGTACGGAATATTTGTGATTATGTCTTCTTGATGTACACGTGTTTTTTTTTCCAAGAGAATTTTTACATATATTTGTAATGTCTCTCTTTTTTTTAAAGAGATCCACAATTCTCTCTTGGCTGGAATTTATAGCTGGGAGAAGCAATTGGAGTTTGCTAAAATTAGCAAGCTAAGGAAGCTACTCTGCCCTATTGAAAATTAGGAGAGTGGTAAATAAAATGCCACAGCTGTGGTGGTGACTTATTTAACAAAAAGAACCATGCATTTATTTAAAATAATATAAGTTCCTTAAACTCAATGGTCAAATGCTTTTTGTATCTTATTTAACTAAATTTTATTTTCTCTAACACCTAACATTTTGCTCTGCATGAACACCTGTTTGTTGAACATAGGATTCTATTCTTGAATTCAGTTATTTTTGAAACTTTGTTTCAGAAAAGTATATTTGAAATTGAACAAATATTTCAGAAATTGTAATTCTGAAATAGTTCAGCTAGTATGATATAAAGGTCAAATCCAAACCCATTTTACAGATGAAGGAACTGAGGCCCAGAAAAAGTTTGATTCAGTATTAAGTGGTACAGCCAGTATGTGAACTATCTGCTTCCTTTAAATAATTTTTTTTATTTCAAAGAGAATCAAACCAATAAGGGATTGTTTATATATCTATGTTTAACATAATAACTAATCTGGATAACTGATCGCATCTCGGTTTGTGTGAATATCATTGGCAAGCCATTGGTTTCTAGTCTTACAGATCACATCAATTTGATGTTTTATACTGACTTGTAGTCTCAAGTCAGTGGCTCTCATGGGCACCCAAATGCCCTTCATTAGCATTTGAAACAGAAGGAGGAGAAAATTCCCAGGAATAAAATTTGACTTTTATTCCACTCCCCTACTTCCCTTTCCCACCCCACATATATCCCCTTCATATGGTTATGCCAGTAAAGCCACCTCCTCCTATCATAGCAGATCAGAAACAGATTCCTGGGGCACTGAGGCTAAGTGATTTGCCCAGAGACACAGGCAGTAAGAATCACATGTGACTTGAGCACAGACTCTTTCACTCCGAGATCTACTCTTTAGCTACTACACTTTGTCATTAATCAATGAAAAGACTGTAAAAAGAAGAAAAAAAAACTGGACGCCACTTTTGTATGAAAACAAGTACATTTTATTGATGACATATTCCCACTTCCCATTACAATGTGTAACTAAAACCACAGGCAACTGACATAAGAAACCATAAGACAAAACTCTGCATGTTATTCATCACATTAAACCATTTAAGAGATTAGTTTTTTCCCCCAAGAAAATATTTATCGTGGAACCTGAAATACAGAAGCCTTGTTTCCATTATAAAAAAGTTGTAACATCACATTTTACAAGTCTTAAATCTGTCAATAGTATATGTTCTAATACAAAAATAGCACTTGCATATTACATACTTTTAAATTAAAATTATATAATTAAAAATCTTAATTAACCAATTGGTGGCTTTAAAAATGTTTGAATAAAAAAAATCACAGTAACTTAACATTTATTTTTATAAAAGGCCACCACAACTTAAGCTAGCTATTTGCTTTTTATTTTTTTAGGATTAAACATCTTTAGGCAGTTCTATCATTGGCTACAAAAAAGGTTTCATAAAGGAACAAAAAAAAGGCAAAGAAAAAGAGATAAACTACTGACAGAAAGTAATGAAATCCTATAGACTACTGGGTTACCTCTGAGCACACAAAAAGAGAATTCATGAATAAGGCTTATATTGTAATGGGTTGGTTATAATTCTGTGGGAATGCAAGTTGTATAAGTACAAATTAAAGTAAGAAAAGTACTGAGAAACACTGGAGGTAGTACATGATGATATTGATACCTTTTACTTAGTTGAAATTCAACCATCAAAAAAGAAAATCTAACTTCACTTTGAATTGTATGTACCTCCCTCCCTGACCCGCAGCTCCATCCCTCAATATGCAACATCACTGGTAGGAGCAAAAGTCTATTCACTAAACTTTAAAGTTAACAAATGGCAAAAGGGAAGAGCTACTATAAATACACACACATACACACACAGCTATATCTACCTATATAAAGTCAGAAAATCCCCACCCGCTCTGGCAAAAAGGGTTAACTTGATCTCATCATGGGAAAAATATCTTAACTTTGTTCTTAGAAATACTACTTTAAAATGGTGCTGTGATTGTCCCCCGAAATTCTTTCTCCATGAGTAGCCCATTTTACAGATGAGAAAACTGAGACGCAAAGTTTAATTTCACTCCATCTCACAGAACAGTTGAAGAGTTTTGATTTTTATCAAACATATATGTATATTTCTATATATATAGTTTTGATTTTTATCAAACATACATATATATTTATATATATGTATTTTTCTATTGCCAACTTCCATGAGGAAAGGACCTTTTTTCTTTCTTTTTTCTAAACAAAAAGGAGAATGCCTAAATACCATCTAAGACCACTAGTGCAATGCACCATTCATTAAGTCACATCTACCTTATAAATTTTAAATCTGCCTATATGTTCAAACAGAAATGTGTATTGTATTAATGAACACAAAAAACTTTAAGGAAGAAAATTTGGTAATTCAAATTAATGGAAATTATAAAGCTTGAAAAGAAAGTCTATGACACACATACAGACTAAGTATGAGTTCTACATGTGCTCTCAACCAAATACCTGATCTTGATGACTTCAGTATTGCCAATTGGTTAAGAATATTCTGACATTCCAGGACTTGTGAAATCTAAACTTTCTGAGTGCCAAAATCTGTCAGCCTTTGCAATCTCGCTTAAAAAGCAACCTTTCTTTGCTTCCCCATTTGGGGTTACTCTGTGACATATAAACTCATGGAGCCCCACACAGACCTGATCACGGACCTGCATGGCACAAAGGATTATTTGGACAGAACCTGTAACTTTTGCATTCAGAAAAATCTTTACTTTAGGACTTTCTTTAGGTATTTCTTTTAAAAACGGTCTGTAGATCATAAAGATGTAAGATTAGGTCAATCCAATTTTAACCAGTGTACTTGAGATTAATTTAAAATTAATGATGTCGAAGTCATTAATTACACCTCTTCTTCACAAAGAGTGAATTTAGTGTTCATAAAGTATACCACCGGAAAAATAAGCCAATTATTTTAAGACTATCAAATTGTTTCATATATGCATATTAATGCAAACTGATTCAAACATCTACACCCTATAACCATAAGAAGATGATGATTCATATCCCTAAGGCCTAATTAATAAGGAAATAATGGGATTAATAAACCGGTTTAAAGTATAATTTTATGAGGTGAAAGCCTATTCATTAGAACAGAATTATAAATTTCAATAATTTAAGCAGGCCAATGAATCATACAAGTTTTTGCTTTGTAACACAGATCTAAAGTAAAATTAATAGGCTGAAAGTCTTAATTTTACCACCTGGGGGATCAAAACTTGCTATCTGCTAATCAAATTTAAACTTTGTCAGAGCTAAATGATATTGAAGAGGAGAAGGGGTAAAACAGAAGGTACATTATCAGCTGGGCATATATCTTTTCCACCAGGTAACCAATATCTACCACCATTCCTTAAGTATCCAATGTCCCCTCCCATTATTCCCTTGCTATTCCCTTAATTTGGTCTCTTGTTATTCCCTAATTTTGGTTTCTTTATAAACTAACAACTAAGTAATTCTTATTATTAATAAATTAAATGACTACTTTTATAGACAATATGATTTTTCTTCCTCAGATGTGTCCATGCATATCTTCTCAACTTGCAGGTGCAGTGATAGACGCTGCTCTGTAAAAGTCTTCCAACCAGAATTTAATTTGCATGCTATTCACTCTCAGTTTCACTGTCCTCAGAAGAATCATCTATATCTTCATTTATCTGCACACCAATGTTGAGTACCTTTCTAGAGCACACAACTTAAAAAAAAAATTACACATAATTCAGTAAATTCAACACTTATTGGTTATTTCATAATATGGAGCCAAGTAAGCTCAGTCAATGCTTTTCATATCAAAACATGTAATAGCACAATGTTTATTCTTTGGAATTCGAGCATGAACAATTTATGTACTGAGTAATTAGATATTCTCTATTTATTAATAAATATATTTTATAAATAAATGATTTATTCAATCATTTTCTTCAAGAAAAATCTTTTCTGTGCATAGTTTCATGTGTTCATTTCAAAACCTAAGAGTCAGTTAATATGTCATGCTAATAATGTAGAAATAAACCATTTCTTATCATTACGCTTATTAGTACATAATTCCTTAAAGAAAAAAAAAAGTAAATCAGTAAGCTAAAGGACCATAAAGTTCACAGTACAGAAAAGCAATAAATAGCAACACTTCTCATCCCAAAACTAACATGTCAAGAGTTGGATGTCCTGTACTCTTCAATTCCTGCACTTAGATTAGTTTCCATTTCAGTTTTTGTCTGAATTCAGCTGATGAGTTCTAGCTTATAAGCCATCAAACCCATAGGTACAAGGAGAGTTTGTTTTATATGTAGCATTATTTTTAGACTGAATAGCTATATGTTTATGACAGGTCATAAAACACAACTTGTCTATACAAATCTGGATATGTTACAGATTAAATAAAGTATGTTTTTCCACATTATTGTCTTATTTTAATAAGCCTGCTAAGAACTTTTTAAACAGCTCATAACATGGTTCTCAAACTCATTACTCAACACAGCACTGGAGGAAAAAAGGTGTCTCACTACAAGAAACTAAACAAACTTTCATTTAAGTGGCAACAGAAGTGAGAAGTCTGTAGTACAGCAGGCATGATGTGGATTCAAATTACAATCCCAGTCCCAACTAGCTGTGTAGCCATGGACAAAGAATTTTCCTCATTTGTAAAATGGAGACAATACCACCTGCACTAATTACCTGACAGGTTTGTTTTGAGGAAAACAAAGTGTTGTATAAATCTGAGATATCATTCTTCAAAAGGAAAAAAAAATTACTCAAATTGTTAAAATTGTGTAGTGCATAAGAAATAAGAAAGGTACATGTATCCCACTCTTGCTAAAAGATTCTGTATCTACTTGGCTAACAGAAAGCTTTCCAAACATGTTCACAACAGAACAGCTATGTGGAAAAAAATGAATGTGAACTCTTATATGAATTGTAATAGAAGTAAAATGTCTCAGAGAGGTTTAAATTCCTAAAGTCCTGAACTCCACACTCCATCGCTGCTTCTCCTTCAGTATCCCTCTTCTTGGCTTTGAACATATAGCCCTATCTAGAACATACAGCCCCTATCTAATAAGCACTTTTTTTCCCCCTCTTTAAAATTTTTCTCCTTGTTTCCTAATAATATAGTCTTACCATTAGAAAAGGGGCTTATATCTTCACATTCCTCCCAATGATCAAAATCGAAAGACACATTAGGATTCTGTTAAATATAAAATATAACATTAACTGAGAAAATAAGATAAATATATCTATACATACACCAAGGATATTAAGACTTAAAAATCATTAAAATCTATTACCCTTTTCTTGAGCAAATTATGCCAAGATTCTTTTTTCTCTTTTACAAGAGTGACTATAGGTTCTTCATTCTTAATTAGACATTTGGATTCCTCTTTTAATATACTTGCATGTAGGTCCATATCAGCCAAGTAAAATTTATCTCCTACCCAAGCGCTAAATTAAAATAAGTAAGGTTAGTCTTTTTTAACACAGTCAAGTGGTTCCAGTTGTTTTTTTTTTTGTTAAAATACATACATAGACCTACCTGAAAACCACCCTTTCTCTAAAAAATTTACATTTCTGATCTTTTACATTTCTTAGCCTTATCCTCACAACTACAACATCTTCTTTTTGAAACCATTTTATTTCTGGGTGGAAACTATGAGAGAGAGAGAGAGACAGAGACAGAGAGACAGAGAGAGAGAGAGATACCAATTAGTCAATTAACCAACAAACATTTGTTAAATACCAATTATGTTCCAGGCACTGTTTTAGCTAAAAAGTGAAACAGTCCCTGACCCCCAGGCACTTACATGTACACATAAAAGTCTGTACAAAAATAATTACAAGGTAGTTTTTTTTGGGGGGGACACCACAGTTGTGGGCAGGGATCAAGAAATACTGCATGTAGAAGGGGGTACTTGAGCTAAGTTTTTAAGAAAACCAGAGATTCTTAAGAGGTAGAATGAGAGAAGAGTGTATTCCAAGACAACCTGTGGGAAGGTTTCTGCCATTAAGAGGTAACTGATAACTTTGGGAACATCAGGTTCAGGCAAGTGATGAGGCTGGAAGCCATACTGCAGAGGGTGGATATACAAGTAAGAGAAGGGCAAGTATAGACAGCTCTTTTTTAGGAATTTGGCAGTGAAAGGGAGAAGCTATATGGGAATTACAGCTTGAGATAAAGAGAAGCATCTACTGAGGATTTTTTAAGGAAGAGGAGATGTAGACATGTTTTTTGAAGTCAGAAAAGAAGCAACAAATAGCGAGAAACTGAAGAAATGATTGTGGGGGTAACCCAATGGACAAAGGGAGGAGATTGGACCAAGGGTATATATAGAGGTGTTGGCTGTAGTGAGAAGGGTCAGGTCAGGGTCAGAGTACAGGAGAAAACAGGGGCTCATACCAAGGAGTTTTAAGGTGCAGAAAAAAGGAGCTCACAATGAGTGGTTTCCATTTTCTCAGTTAAGTACTGAGTGAACCCTAAGATGAGAGCATGGGGACAAGGAGCGGTATTTGAGGCGTGATGAAAGAGATGAAGAATCAGGGAGAAATAGGAGAGCTGCCTTGCTGCAGTATATTTATGTTAAAACTACCTAAGTAAATGCTTATTTGTTAAAGAAAATCTCTTTAAAATTATGGAGTCATACCTTTTATGCTGCTGCTGTCTTGTTTCTTTAATGTAATTATCTCCACTATTTTCTGATACCACTTCTATGAAAAGAAAAAAAAATAAGCTTATCACTGACCATACCTTTCACTGTACAGTGTGACCTTCCTTACCCTACTACTTACCTAAGTGCAATGCAGCTGACAACTCTCATACAAACTAAAGACAATGAAATGAAAGGATAAACATTTCCTTGTGACTCAGGATTCATGGGGTAAATATTAATATGCTTACTAATAGTGAAAATTAAAATCCTTTAAAGGGAAAAAAAAAGCCTTAACAGTTTTGAAGCAGCAGCATGATATAGTGAAAAGAGATTGGCTGGTCCAGAGGAGTTCAAATCCCACTTCAGATACCTAGACATGTGACCATGAGCAAGTCTCTCTTTTTTTCTTCCTTTTTGGCGAGGCAATTGGGGTTAAGTGACTTACCCAGAGTCACACAACTAGTAAGTGTTATGTGTCTAAGGCTGGATTTGAACTCAGTCAGTCTCCTAACTCCAGGGTCGGTGCTCTATCCACTGTACCACCTGGCTGCCCCCAAAGAGCAAGAAGTCTCTTACCATCCCTTAGTTCATTTCCTCTTTTGTCAAATAGTAAGAATAACTGAAAGTACTTGCATGATTGATGTATTTGGAGGGTCAAATAAGATAATATATGTAAATACAAATGCTATACAAAATGCAACAAAAACCCTATGTGTCATTTTAAGACGCTTTAGTCCAGTCATGATATCAAAAGTAAAAATGACTAAATGTTAAAGTCTACATCCCTTTGTGTAATGTCTATTTTTTTTCTTTTGGCTAGGCAATGGGGTTAAGTGACTTGCCCGGGGTCACACAGCTAGTACGTGTTATGTGTCTGAGGTCGGATCTGAACTCAGGTCCTCCTGAATCCAGTGCCAGTGCTCTATCCACTGCACCATCTAGCTGCCCCTGTGTAATGTCTTTAAAAGCTATAGCACAAATACTAGTCATGTTTTCAAAAAGCAATATATTTGATACAAGAAAATTAAATACTTGCTTCATAAGTACTTACCAGACTCTGGATTTTCTGTATTCACTTGTTTGGAAATATTGTTTTCTGAAATTTTGTCATCATCTGATATTGAGCTTTGCAGGTCAGCTGTCTCCTCTGTACTTTTGTTGGGTGTTAAAGGAGGTATTCTAAATAGAACACACTGCCATTACTACTAAGTAAATGTTTACCAAAGGTTAAGACATAGATTTTTAAAAAGGCATTCAGACAAAAAACCAGATGGATGAAGAACGCACATGAGGCATGTTATGTTACAACACGTAGTTGGATGAGTAGCTCAGAGCTTCTTCATCAGTACATGTTATAAAAGTCCAAATTGAGCAAGATATCCCGTAATTTTTCTTAGCCATTATTATAAAATTAAATATGATTCTTTTTAACAATTCTTTCCTTAGTTAAATTAGATATGATATATTTAATTTTGATTCATGAAGTCTAGACTAATAGAAAATTATTATCAAACTGAACCCTTTTCAACACTCTACTGTTCACAATAAAAAGGAAAATAATACTGGCATAAACTCATTTCTACAAATGTGAGGAGGACTAAGAAATTTATCCAAATCCTTTAAAGCTGGACACATGTATCCCACACGGTTTCTATCACATCACTGCCCTGCAAAAAATATTTTTTAATTTTATTTAAAATAAAGCATTTTTAAAAAAGCTCAATGAACAATATGTTTTATGATGGAAACCTATTCGAACCTCTTACAAAGTTTCAGAGCAGGAATTCTTTAGTCTTTTACATGAGTTAAGTAAGACTAATGTCACTTCTGTTTTATCTTTCAGGTAACAAGTACTCACCCTACGAGAACCACAGATCCCAGGGCTGTGGATTTAGAGCTGAAAGGGGCCTCAGACATCCTCTAGTACAAGCCCCCTTTTACATGTGAAGAAACTCAAGCACACAGAGAGGAAGTGACTAGCTTTTGTCAGAAGTAGGCAAATACACAGCCTTGACCAAGGTTCCTCAGGGAGGTGGCAGAGCTAGGATTCAAACCTAGGGCTCCCGTGTTTCCACTGCACCACACAATGCCTTGGTAAGATAATTACAGGAAGCATTCCAATATCTTAGTTGTCAAAATATAAAACAGGGTTTCAAACAACAAATACACAGAGAAAGATAAAATGTTAACTCACGTGGTTTGGAATGTGCTCTCTTGAAGGGCTACCATTGTACTTTCTTGGCATAGTTTTTTAAGTTGATCTATATGTTCTGGATTATCGGTACCCATTCCCATTGATAAAATTTCAGCTCGAACATTATATTCAATTACAGAAGTTTTCAAATCTGAAAGCTTGGTGAGATGGACCTTGTATTAGAAAGACAAACAGAAGTACATTTCAGAATCACTATTTTAAAAAGCATTTTCAATTACTTTATTGTACTTTCTGACTAAAAAAAATTACTTATATGATAGAATATATTCACCAAAGACAATACTGTAAATTTACCCTCCTCATTCACCAAGTATGAGAGATTTTAGATAGACATTATCTATTGCTCTCTTCTCTCAAAAACTCTTCTTTTTTTGATCCCCTTTTAATTTTTCTGATTGTATCACAAAGAAAGCTACAATTCATTTCCAGTAGTTTTGGTAGTCTGTTCACACACTAGATATCCTACTTTTTAACCAGGCAAGTGTGTGCCCTGACTCTGGGCCCTCTGGCAGCAGCAGTAATAGATATAGATGGATGTGGGCTAGAAATTAGTATCAGGAAACAGAAGAAATGACATTAGAATCCCTGAATCTATGGGAATTTGTGTTTTCTATATCTCAAATGTAAAACAAAACATAATATAAAACAGTTTTGAGAACAATTACTTCCCTTTTTCTACATTATTTTGAGGACAAAAATCCTAAGATTCACGTATTTCATGGTTTCCATGGCAGTAATTTTCCAAAGTTTGACCCTAAAGAAATAGGCTTGTAAATAAACCTGGATAAGAAGGCCTGACCTAAGTTTATTTAAGGAAGAGGAAATCTTTCCCCAACACCAGCAAGCACAATGTACACTGATATCTGATCTAAGAACAAAATCAGAAACACTGGAGGCAACAGCCCTTAGTTTCTTAAATAAAAGTTATTTGGGAGGCTGTATTAGATGGCAGCTACTGACTCTTCATAAACAACTTTTAACTGACATAATTTCAGTCCAAATGAATAGCGAAAGAGTAGAGGGAGGGAGGGCATTCTCTCCTTTGCAGTCCTAATGGGTATACTGTTAAACACTTGAAACCTATAAAGAGAAACCTAGAGGAAAGTATTTGCTGTATTTTTTCTTTAATTGATTTCACTTTTATAATGAATAATTTTATCAGCATACAGAAAATAAGCTAAGCATTTTTTAGACCCCAAAGGTCAAATGCTATGTAAATTTTACAAACCTTAAAATGCTATGTAAATTAGTTATTATTGCCACACTAACAATAAATGATCACTCTAAAGTCTGTATACTCAAAAACTACAAGGTAGAAAAAATGGGCTGAAGATGGAGTATGTATGCCAAAGATCATCTCCTGGAGTATGCTTTTCAGGAAGGTATTTTTAAAACTACATCTCTGATCATTTGCTTTATCATTTAGATTTCTGCCCAAAACACACAAGTAAAAAGAAGGGTCCACCAAAACTGAAGTTAGATTCCGGTTCATAAAGGTTTTACTCTTTTGGGAGAATATTTGGGATGATTTTTGGTTCCCTTATAAATACAGATTATATTCCGTGTAAGAAAATGGCACACTTACCATTGGATCAACCCAAACTGTGTTTCCCAAAGACAGTACTACTTTTGCCTCATGTAGTTTTCCCATAATTTTATGGTGAATATATCTAGTAACCTGAAAAATGTATAAGTTATTTTTACTTGAAAGACTGATTTATAATGAGCAATCACTACAAAAATCCACATAGTATAAAAGCAATATTATACATGTTCTACTTCAGATTAAAGTCAGTTCCATTCAGGAGATATAAAAAGAAAGTGACATAAATATATGCATTTTCATTATCACAGAAATTCATCTGAAATTATTGGAATATTTTTGATTAAAAAAATTTCCACTATCTTTCAATATATGACCTAAGTGTTTTTACATTTCTCGCTATCATCTCATATTATCATCACATTTTTTTCCTTATGCCACTTTTTAAAATAGTGTGGCATAGTGAAAAAAAGCTATTGAAGAAAGCATTCCTGCGTTCAAATCCCACCTCTGACACCAATCTGGGTGACCGTAGGCAAGTCATTAGATTATCTTATCTTACTAGGCTCTCTTGGGCCTCAGTTTCCTCATTTCTAAAATGTGAGGATTAGACCAGATGGCAGAGCTCAAGAACTATGATGACATAAAACTCTCATGATCAGGTAAATGGCATCCCTGACATTTACAAGAGAAAACCTTGGCAGATGAAGTGACTTTCTTCACAATTACCTGCTGACTTAACTGTACAAGGGGAACTAGCATCCATGGGTCATAGATCCCAAATACAGCATTTGCTGCTTCTGACAGATCACATTCTCCCTTCTTTTCAAGCAGAATGCTAAGAAGAGATCCACATCACACTGCTGTCAACATTTGTATTTCTGTGCTAATAACTGCCAAGATTCAATGTCCCCAAATGGCTGCTAGAACAAAAACAAATTTTCAACATGAGGTTTTTTTTGTTTTGTTTTGTTTTTAAGGTACCGGATACCAACAGTTCAGTACATGGAAATATAGAGCTTGTAACAAGACAGTAAAGCCAGTCCAATGTTTCGTTGCAGGGACATACTTAAAATAAAGAAGGGCAGTGAGAAAGGATGGTGGAAACAGGTCAGGTCCACTGGGGCGCTGGGTGGAAGTGGGCACCCCGCCAGCGGGTGGAATTTTGCAGACCAGTCTGGCAGGTTTTTATGTGGTTCTTACCTGTATTAAGCAGGACCAGGTATTGACTGAGGTGAGGGGGCAAAAAGCTTGGACCTAGAGCCTAATAGTAGAAGGGGGAAGGAAAGAGAAGACTCCTGGAGAAATGGCAGCTAGCGGCAACTCAACCTCTCTGCCAGTGAGAAAGGTTCTTTCGGCTCTTATTGCCCATCTTACTCAGACAGCCTGACATGGCGGATTCATACTTCCTTGGTGCTGCTTTGTTTAATGAAGTGCAGAAGCTGTTGAGGTCTTTACAGCAGACCACACAGCTCTCACACAAACAGAAACCTGAAATTTGTCCCAACCCAAAGTAATTATCAAGAAATTCCATAAATTAAAACTAAATACTTTCCCACCCCTTATCACATGGCACACTGGACAAAACTGAGCATTCTAATGATTCAAACGTACCATGTTAATTACAAAGTACAATACAGCAAGTACTGTACCCCAGAACTACACAAAAAGTCAGCCAGAAGTCCTGGGCACTAAGAAAGACGGTTGCCAACAAAACCAGAGCCATCCACAAAAGCAAACAAGCTGACAGTTTCCCAGCAGGGGCGAACAGAGATAATAAAGGGATGATTTCAGAAAAATCTGGGAAAACTTACATGCACTGATACAAAGTAAAGTGAGCAGAACCAGAAGAACATAGTAACAGCAATAATGTAATGATGATCAACTGTGAGAGACTTAGCTACTCTCATCAATACAATGATTCACAACAATTCCAAAAAACTCATGATGAGAAGTGCTATACACCTCCACACAGGATTTGGGGACTGGTTGAATGACCAACCTGAAGAGTAGTTATTAATAGGTTGGTGTCAGCACAGAATATCCTCCAATGGACACTGGCCCTGAGATCTGTCCTTCGCCTGTGCTGGCGAATATTGTTAGAAATGATTTCGAAAAAAGCATAGCTGGAATGCTTTTTGGTTTCACAGGTTTCACAAAGTCAAAGAATAGATAGTATTTAACTGGAACAAAAAAGGTTTATTTTAGCAAGGGAAGGGAGGGAGAGCAGGAAAGAAGTAGCTAAAGTTTATCACCTTTAAATGTCAAACTATTTTTATTTTACCCATGGAAATTCTTGTAAGATTACTTGTGAAAAATTATCTTTAAATAAATTAAAATTAGCTATTTTCCTGCCCCTTATTAAATGGCACACACCAAAATTTAGCATTCTAATGATTCAAACTTATCATGTTAGTTACAAAGTACAATACAATTACTGTACTTTGCTGTTACATTAATGAGATGGGGGAATGACTGTTCTTCTGCTCCCTGCTGAGACCTTTTATAAAAACGGAATTCAAAGATGTTTTCTAGATGGCAGAGGTTGCCAAAAATCTGAGTGACAGCTAACTGGCATTTTATTATGTACATAAAAGCATACGTTGTCCTTTTAATTTCATAAGAATGAGCAAGTGATAAAGAACTTTATAAAAAAATCATTCTGAATTACATCAGCTTATAAAAAATGGAATTTCATACATATTCAGCTACAAAATTATTTCAAACATAGACTCCAAACATTACTTTTACATTTTCAAATCATGACTACTATACCAAATTACTAAGTACCTCTAGAAAACTTTAAAAATGTAAAAACGTGAAAGCATGGGAGCTTACCTTTGGGTTCCATTCAACTTCATTGTCAATAGGTTTCACTCTACAAACAATAAATTCTACAGCTTGAGGAGGTACATTTTGGAATCTCTGGGGTAGACGAAGCAGCTGATGATTTTTAGTATTGCTAATCCTGCCTTCATCTATAAATTTTATATGAACATTAAAAAAGACACAATTTTCCTCTTTTTGGCTCATTTCCAAAACTTGAACCCTGTAAAATAAAGAATAGCTAAATATGTTTCATTCTAAAATTAAATAACCTTTGCCCTAATTTAAATAATAAGAAAAAATTACTGAATTTTGCTAATTTAATTAATATTTTCAAGTACGTTAAAAGAAAAAACTCACTGAGTGCCTTCTAATTATACACTATATATTAGTATTTAGGGCAAACTCACAATAAAGTCTGAAAAGTCCTTATACTAAGATACTATTAATATGAAGGTACTGAGAATTAAACTTTCAGTGTGCTTCATTATTCCTGAATTATTATTTCCAAATACATACTAGAATCCAAGTTGAGTTGGACATACCTACCACCTAAGATCCATCATAACATTCAGTCATTATAGAAAATGGTGCCAATGACTCCAATGTCTAATGACCTTCTTTGAAAGGCAGCCTTGCACTTTACCTGCTTCATGTATTCTTGAATTTTGTCAATGCAAAATAAAACAATAGTGTTTGTCTCAGAGTTATAAAAAAGGACAAGACTATCTTCATAAGGTTAATTTGCTATCACAGGAATCCTTACAAAGTTTCTTGCTTTGTCAACATTTTTTCAATGCTTCTGCTGACAAGTTTTGCTCTTAGAACAGGAATTGAATAAATATCACCTTTGCTTCTGGAAAGGGCATAATGATCAGCTATACTATGGCTCCACCCATCATTCCTGCAACAACTCAGACCAAAATACCTTTTCTGAGGCACCATTCTCCTATGGGTTGTCTCTTCCTACCAAGATGTAAGCACCTCAGAGACAGGCAACGTCTTTCTCACTTTTGCATTGTGTTCTAAGAACCCAGTACATAGTAACACATTTAATAAATGCTTTTTCATTCATTCAACGTGTAGTCATCCAGTATAGGAGGGACAGTTTCACATTTATATTTGTTGTCCCAGTGCTCAGGTCATACGAGTAGGGAACCTGCAGCCTCGAGAACACATGTGGCCCACTAGATCCTCAAGTGCAGCCCTTTGACTGAATCCAAACTTCACAGAACAAATCCCCTAGCCACAGGTTCCCCACCCCTGGCTAGGACATAATAATACATTTAAATGTTTTTTTTTCATTCATTCCTTTCTACACTGAATTCAAAAGCATTATAGATGTGATAATGCGATTATCCAGTATAGTTTAAACCTCAGTTCAAATTTATGACATACTTTTATATTCCTTTGGATAAAGCAAAATAAAGCATCTTACCTGTGAAAAACTGCTTTTTCATGTAGTCCATACAAGGCAAACTTCTCGACTTTTTCAACAGACATTTTATTACTGGATTCCTTAAAATACTCCTCCATTTCCATATTAAGAGCTGCATACAGATCCTTGTGTTTATCAAGTATGCGCCCAAAATAGTTTGTTGCATTCACAATATAGAAAGGTATTATCTGAAAGCATAACATATACTTTAAAAGATCTGAGATTTCCTTAGTGTGGCCCTTCCCTCTACCAATTAAAGTCACAATCCCTCTAAGCGTTAAGTAGATGATTTCATGAGTTGTTTCTCATAAAATCGCAGCTGACCCACTCCATGTAAAAATCACCTGGTGGCCAACGTTCTGGTAATGAGCATCTCTGAGCATAGCTAAGCTAATATTTGAATGACAGATACAGAGTCCATTATCAGGAATGTAGGTGAAGCCTTTCCAGCTTGGTAGGACCTGCTGAGACTTACGGAATAGTTTTCAAGAGCCCAAGGTCATGTGCATGCCACAATGAGGCGTCTGAACAGGGTTTTAATGGAGGAAAAAACATATACATATAGATACATGTATATATACACACATGTATGTACGTATAGATCAAGTGTTAACTGGAAAATCAGATAATTTTTTTTTGGAACAATCAGGGTTAAGTGACTTGCCCAGGGTCACACAGCTAGCAAGTATCTAAAGCCAGATTTAAATACAGGTCTTCCTGACTTCAGGGCCACTGCTCTATCCACTGTATCACCTAGCTGCTTCAAAAACTGGATAATTCTAAGCAAATGATGTATGTATGTGACTTTAAATCATATACAGAAACTAATGCCTTTATAGATTCTGCTTAACTGCTAAGACAGTGTGACTGGTACATTTCAGCTTAACTAAGAATCGGATTACACAAAACCCTCTATACTGTATTCATAAACAATAAAGTTCTTTAAAAAGTTCACTGGAAGATTTCTGCCAGTTGATTTCATTCTCAGATGACAAAATCCTTTTTTAAAAAGTCAGGAATGAAACCTTATGACCTCAGATACCTATTCACAGCAAGGAGCACTAAATGTCTCAACACAAGAAGGGAAATTTGACCTCTCAGGTTTCACTGAGATGAGTGGGATGGGATCCTTTCACATGGCTAAACAGAGAGAACAGGACAAAAGAAACAGTGGAGTATTGTAATGCATACAAAGAAGAAACTTACATGGAGAAATAATAATAATCAGAGCAGAAGGTAAAATCGAGACTATTTGGAAGAAGAGCAATAGAAGCAGAAAATGAAAGGACTGGAACAGACCACAGACCACAGACCACCTGGACAGAAAGAGGAGACAGTCAGCTCTATGAGATCTGGGGCTATATTTTTTTGGTTTTGTATCCTCCATGCCTGATGATACCTTGCAAAAAATGTTGGTGCTTGAATATGTCAATTAGCCAGGATTTGTTGGGTGCATACTATGTGGCAGACATTATGTTTATTGACAGATGAATGTTTATTGAATCAAGTTCTAGAAACAGATAGCAAGCCTGGTACCAAATCATGACACCATAAGAGACGAGAAACTTCAACGAATTATTTAGACAATCTAACCTTGCCATAATAACTTCATGCATCAAAATCGTGGAAGAAATAATGACAAGAACTGCTATTCTGTATCTGATTCTTGCCAACAATAGGAAAGGTAGAAATGATAGAAATGAGATGGGGCAGAGAGTGGCAACTCCTGGCCAGCTCCTAGATGGCCTCTGCGATTCCATTCATTGCTGATTCAGACATTCATTCGTTGATTTTATGACTCCAAATGCCTTTGTATCACCTTTACCTATAGATTCATCTAAAGCATATTTAAAAAGAAAATTTTTACTCTCATTATGTAAAACACCTTAATGTTTAAATTCTTTTAAAGACTTCATTATAAATTGAAGCACAAACAATTCAAACAACATAAAACCACGTATTAAGCCACAAGCTTCTTCACTTAGAGCACTAAAAACATATGTGCCCCTCTTTCTTTACTCTTCTCGCCTCTTCCTCTTCTGTGTACATTTCAGGTTTTGCTGCATTTTTTTTACAGCCAGTGGAAGTGTGACAGTCCGGCCTCTGCTCTGCACCCCTTTCTCCTAATCTTCCCATTTCAGCTTGGTCTTTCTCCCGGTACAGCACCATTTTGCTGCTTTGATGTACTATGGTTTGTTCAGCTATTCCCCTAAACTCTGGACATACAAGTTGTTCCTATGTCTTTTACTAAAATACATTTATGTGTATAAAGGTATTATTCCCCCCTCCAAAAAAATTTTATGGGAAGGTGAGGAGAGGCAGAAGTGACCGCTCTGTCTTCAAATGTGTGACAAGAAATCTGGGCACAGTCTAACACATTTTAATGTTCTAAGAGGTTTATAAGAGAAAAAAGTGAATTCTAAGTCAACCCCAATCAATTCATATTTTACTTCCTGTTTTCTCTGCCATTAAGAACCATTTCTAGACTGAGAAACAACAGAAAAAAGTGAGTAATGGTGCATTAAAATCCAAAACAAAAGGTAAGGGAGCAATGGGCTGCCCTTAGTGAGTCATTTACATCCTGATGCCCAGCAGGGCTGGCAGCAGAGCTGGCTGAGCCCCAGCCAGTGATCACTAAGAACACAAAGGTGTGAGAGAGGTGCCCAGGAACTGAACAGGTCTGAATGTGCCAGTTTCTAAAAGGGGGTGGGGAAGAGGATTTGAAACTATAGGCCAGTGAACTTGAATTCAATTCATGGGAAAATTTTGGACCCCTATTATCAAAGGAGTGATTAGTGACACATTATTAGAAGAAGTTCCTCAACAGAAGCTCTTTCTCCTATACTGATGTACTCTCAGGTGTGATTTTAAAAATTGGTAAATGAACATTTAGAAAAGGATGCAGTGAGAGGCAGCTAGGTGGCCCAGTGGATAGAGTACCAGCCCTGGAGTCAGGAGAACCTGAGTTCAAATCCAGCCTCAGGCACTTAGTAGCTGTGTGACCCTGGGCAAGTCACTTAACCCCAACTGCCACAAAAAAGATGCATCGAGATGCCCTCAAGTACAGGTCGGCAATCAGCAGGCATTAAATAACTGTGTGCTGCGGGCTAAGCGCTGTGTTATGTACTAGAGATACAAAGGAAAAGGAAAAGCAACTCCTGCTCTTGAGGAGGACTCAGATTCTAAAGGAGGACACAAGATGTACATTAACGTGTATGCATAATACACAAAGTGGATGCAAGGTAAATCTTAGAAGGGAAAGCAGGGAGAAAGGGCAGAGCAGGAGGTATGGGGACTTGAGGAGACAAGACAAAGTTGGAGACATAAAGCTGCCCTGGTAAGCTGGATGAAGAGGGAAGTATCAGGAAATGGAAGTCATGTAAAAACAAAGGTTTTTTTTAAAAAATCACTGGCAAAGTTCTTTTTATTGTTGTTGTTTAGTCGTTTCTATTGTGTCTAAATCATTGTGACCCCATCTGGGGTTTTCTTGGCAAAGATACTGGAGTGGTTTGCCATTTCCTTCTCCAGCTCATTTTTATAAATGAGGAAACTGAGGTAAACAGAGCTAAGTGATTTGCCCAGGGTCCCATAGCCAGCAAATGTCTGAGGCTGGATTTGAACCCAGGAAGATTAGCCTTCCTGACCTCAGGCCTGACACTCTACCTACTGTGCCACCAAACTTCCCTTAACAAAGTTCTTAAACTTACCTTAACATATCCAGTTGTTGCCAGAGGTCGGTCAGATAGTTTCCTTGGCATGTCTATTTCTGGGTTAATATAATGTCGATCTGGACATATCCTTTTATCTCTGAAAAAAATCAAGGTTACATTCTCTAAATACAGAACAAAAGTAATGAGCATATTAACTGGGATTACAAGTGAAGAGAGGAAAGTATTTGGGGTTTTTTTTGTTTTTTTTTTTTACATTTACATACCCATTAAACACTATTTTCACATTAGTGAAGTTGTAAGTAAAAATTAAAACCAATAGGAGGAACCATCAGAAAGATGAAACAAAATTCAACTTAAGGTAAAAATAAGTGAGAGCGATTCGACTTCCATAGTTCTTTCTTTGGATGTGGACAGCATTTTCCATCCCGAGGCCTCTGGAGATGTCTTAGATCCTCGTAATGCTGAGAAGGGTTCAGTTTAACATTCTTAGTCATTGCATAACGTGGCTGCTATTGTATACAAAGTCTTCTGGGTTCTGCTCACTTCACTCAGCATCAGACCATATAAGTCTTCCCAGGTTTTTCTGAAGTCAGCCTGTTCATCATTTCTTATAGAACAATAGTATTCCATTACATTCATATACCACAACTTGCTCAGAAATTCCCCAATTGATGGGCATCCTCTCAATTTCCAATTCTTTGCCACCACAAAAAGAGCTGCTATGAATATTTTTGTACATGTGGGTCCTTTTCCCATTTGTTTGATCTCTTTGGGATATAGCCCTAGAAGTGCTATTGCTGGATCAAAGGGTATGGCACATTTTTGTAGCCCTTTGGGCATAGTTCCAAATTGTTCTCCAAAATGGTTGGATCATTTCACAACTCCACCAACAATGTATTAGCGTTCCAATTTTCCCACATCCTCTCCAACATTTATCATTTTCCTGTTCTGTCATGTTGGCCAATCTGATAGGTGTGATGTGGTACCTCAGAGTTGTTTTGATTTGCAGGAAAGTATTTGTTTTTTAAAACAGGTAACTGAGTCAGATGCCTCTAAAGAAATTAGAGATCTAGAAGACTATTACCTAAGTATTAAAATTTGTGATTATTTATGAGAAAAAAGGTAAAACTGCTTCATTCTATTCATCAATATTTTAATATCTGCAATTTTATGCTGACCAAAATGTACATCCACAAAAGAATTAGTGTTATTACTAACATACAACACAATTTAATATATAATGATGTTATTAGTTGCATTGAGTTGATCTGGAGTTTTCAAATGCAGTATTAGTTATGCAAATAACTTGTACACCCCATCTCTTTTCTTTCTCTCTGCCACAGGCCAAAAAACAAGCCAACCCTCCTATTTATTATGGGTACTTAAATAACATCTCTGTTGAGAAGCTAGTGGAAAGTTTTTTAGTTTTTTTTTTTTTTGGCCTTTTCTCCCACAACTACGATGAAGAGCAGCTTGATACAGTGGAAATTGCAATGGCTCAGGAATCAGTTGCTTACTGTCTGTGACCTCAGGGAAGTCACGTAAGCCCCAAGCCTCAGACTTCATTTCTTTAAAATGACAAGACGGCCTCTGAGGTCCCTTCCAGCTCTGGCACTACAAACCTGTAAACATCAGAAACAGGCCACTGGAACCCAGGAGGGAGGCTCGTTAGCCACTAATCTGAGAATGCCTTTTCAAAAGGGGCATGATGCTAATAATAATTAGTAATCACTCTGTCACCACAAGTTAGTAAGATACACTGTGGCAGACCAGGAAGAACATCTGTAGATGCGGGGTCATCCAAATCCTAGTCCTTGTCACCTGAGGCAAGTCACCTTCACCTTGGAGCCTCCTATTTCACCATCTTTAAAAACCATGTATCTATCATAGTGCCTATTTATCTACTTCACAGGTTTACTGTTAGAATGGATCAAATTAAATAATGAAGGAAAGCAGGGGTTTTGTCAGCTATCAAGTGCTATACAAACGTAAAACATTTCCATGGAAATAGAAATGGACTACCTATCCAATGCCCCAACAATCAAAGGATTAACGCTAACAGTTATCTTTACGTGCTCTACATGCTGAAACATTAGAAAAATACTGACAATGATGAATGTGGTAGGCTGCTTAATAAGACCCTTTAAATGTTCAGTATTATTTCATGAAATGATGATGACCTAAAAACTTAACCAGCTACTTTGATCCTAAAATTATCCACAGTGTAACAAACTAACATCAAGCAAGTACTAGTTTAAGGGCTTTACTAGTCTCCACCCTTAAATTAACAGAATATGTGCTATAAGTGAACTGAACTACATCCTAAACTAGTTCAGGTTCCTTTTAAATGACACTTTCTGAAGAAAAAAAAAGCAAAATATATAAAAATCAAAACCAAAAAGCAAAATACATTCATTAATGTAGTTATGACTTACCTCCATCTTCAATCTCCAACTGTTGGCTCAAATACAAACCAAGATTTTTAGAATTCAACCAAGTACCTCAACATCGCCTATGACTAGTAGTGACAATACCTCTGAAATCAATGTACCACCTATTTTCCTCAGACTCCAAGGTCTGTCTTAAGCTCTAAGAATATGGTCTAAGAGCTTTATTTATATTTTAAAATACCAGGATGAATAAATGCTTTCTTAACAGAATCACGGGTGAAAGGAGAGAGATCCTAGAAGAACTGAAAATAATTTTCTAGTCACAATGCAGAAAAAAGTGCTAATGATGTTTATCTCTCCCAGGTATATAATTTATGACTTGTAGGGAGACATGCTTCGTGGATCATTAATCTTTTTTTGGGTGGGGGGCAGGGCAGTCAGGATTAAGTAACTTGACTAGGGTCACAGAGCTAGTAAGTGTTTGAGGTCACATTTGAACTCAGGTCCTCCTGACTCCAGGTCTGTTGCTCTATCCACTGTGCCACATAACTGCCCCATGGGTTATTAATCTTGAAATGTGCCACAAAATTATTACCTAAATTAAAAATGATCCTATCTGTAACTTTATAATTACAGTTTTACTCTCATTTCTGAATGTAATGATCTGATATACAGAGAATAATTAGGAAAATCAGTCTTTACTAAAATGTGACTCATCTTACTTGCAAAAACCAGAAACCTTAAGATAATGACATAGAGGCCTTCTGAGTTTTTTATCTTCCTTAGCTTCCAAAACACCTGCAGTGAAGTCACACAACTCTGGAGGAATTTTAGCATCTGTTCGTTCCAAATAACGCAATATGCCAACTGCACAGCATGCACTTCTTTCTGTCAGTAGCAAAATAGATTTTGCCTTTTTATTTCCTTGCTCTGAAGAAGCACCCTTAAAATTAAAGAAGACAAGATGGAAAAGGAAAAACTCAATTTGGATCAGTCTTAATTGTGGTACCCTATGGTTTTTTAAGTATGTCATTATATTAAAAAAAATAGTAATATTCAAAGACTACATTGAAAGCGATTCAGACCTGTTCAACTGAACTTTGGAAATTATCAGACATGCAATATAAACGCGCTCCAAAAATTTTTGGAGAACCAGGAAAACTAAAATGAATCACACAAGTTGCATCAGTTATAGCCAGAGGAGGTATGCAATCATCAGTTGAAACTGAAAAGAAAAAAAAATGCAAAGAGTTACAAAACATGATAGAAACACCAGATTTGCAAAATAGTTCACATTTTCCTATTCTTCAAGAAAATTCTTTATATTGTATTTTTATACACCAAGAAATCTCTTAGCCAAGTTTCTCTGCCTCTTTTCTACCAATTGTGCAATCTCTCTTAGTCTCAAAATGCCTCTCCTACCTATTGTAAATACAGACTAATCATAATTTTATACTTTTAATAATAATATTTGCCAGTCACTTTACCCTGAATGTGCAAACTCCTGGATCTAGCACAGTGTCTAGCATGCAGAAGGTAATGAATAAATATCATGAATGGATTCAATGTTACAGAAGTTTTTCTTATCTCTAAAACTAAACCTTTAAAATTTATGGCTAAACCTTCAATTCTATCTACAGAAGGGTTCTTAACCTTTTTTGGGTCCTAGACATCTATTAAGTCTGGCAAAACCTTTAGACCCCTTTTCATAATAAGGTTTTTATTTAGATACATAAAATTAAACACAATCAAGCAATTAATTAGAATTTAATAAGCACCTACTATTTGCCAGGCACTGTGCTAAGCCCTGGGGATACAAGGAAAGGCAAAAACAATCCCTATTCTCAAGAAGCTTAGTAATCTAGTAGGAGAGTCAATATGTAAACAACTGTGTAGAAAGAAGATATAGACAGACAGACAGACAGATAGACAGACAGATAGATAGACAGATAGATAAAATAAATTGGGAAGTAGTTTCCAGAGGGAAGGCATGAAGATTAAGGAGCATTGATTGGGAAAGGTTTATTTCAGAAGGTAAAACTTTAACTGAGACTTGAAGGAAGCCATGGAAACTAGGAGTCAAAGGGGCAAGGGGGGAATGAAATTCAAGGCAAGAGAGCCATCTAATAAAAACGTTCAGTTAGGAGACAGAGTGTTGTACATGATGAGCAGTGAGGCAAGTATCACAGAATCACAGAGTCTGTGGGGGACAGTAAAGTGTAAGAAGACTGGAAAGGTAGGAGGGGGCCAGGTTATGAAGGGCTTTAAAAATTCAAACTAAGGATTTAATATTTGATCCTGAAGGGAATTAGGAGGCTAACTGAATGGGGGTTGACATAGTTATTAGACTTATGATTTAAGAAGATTAATTTGATTCCTGAATGGAATATGAAATGGAATGGGGAGAGACTTGAGGTAAACTAACCAGCACACTACTGCAATAGTCTAGGTGTGGAGTGATGAGGGAGTGCAGCAGGGGGATGGCAGAAGCAGAAGACAGAAGGAGGCATATACAAGATGTCAGGAAGGTAAAAATCAACAAAACTTGGAAACAGATTGGATACATGGGTGAGAAAGAAGAGTCAAGGATGACACTTAAGATGTGATTCTGGGTGACTGGGAGGATGATGGTACCTTCAACAGTAATAGAAAGAGGAGAGGGTTGGGAGAGGGGGAAGATGATTAGGTCTGTTCTTGACATGTTGAATTTAAGATGTCTATCAAGCAGTTAGAGATGCAAGAGTGGGGAGACAACAGAGAAATTAGGGCTAGACAAGTAGATCTGAAAGGCACCTGCAAAGAGATAACTGAAACCACTGGAGCTGCTGAGATCACCTGGTGAAATCACACAGAGAAAGAAGAGCAGAGGCCTAGAACAGAGCCCTGTGAGACATCCATGATTAGCAGTTGAGACCTGGATGAAGATCCAACAAAGAACCCAGAAGAGGGAGGCAGTCACTCAGGTAAGAAGAGAACCAGGAGAAAGTAAGCAATGTCATGGAAACCTATAGAGTAGAGGGTGAATGACCTATCAAAGGCTTACAAAGAGGTGAAGAAGGATGAAGATTGAGAAAAGGCCGTTATATTTGAAAATTAAGAGAGTATTAATAACTTTGGAGAGGACACTGGGAGCCAGACTGCAAGTAAGAAGAGAGTAAGAAGAAAAGAAGTGGAGGCACCTATTCTAGATAGCCTTCTCAAGGAATTGAGCAACAAAAGGGATAAGAGATATAGGATGAAAGGTTGCAGAGGATGCAGGGATCAAGTGAGGTTTTTCTGCAGATGGAGGAGAAATGGGTATGTTTGGAGGCAGCAGGAAAGCAGTTCTAAAAAGGAAACCAATTACTTTAAAATAGAGATATGATTATTCCCCCCATCTAATCTGGATCCCCTGAAATCTATCCATGGACTGTGTTAAGGGAAGGGTATCCATAGACTCCAGGTTAAGAACCCCTCATCTATAGGATGTAATTTTTGGATCACAACATTTGAAGGCATCTCAAAGTTCTAATTTGTTTCAGAACAGGTCCATTTGTTGACCATATTAAGCTTGTAGCTCCAAATAAGAAGTTTTATAAAAATAATCCTTCCTTTTAGAAACTTGTTATAATCAAGAATTTCACATATTTTGAAGATGTGATAAAATTTCTTCATAAAAACATCAATACATGGTTCTCTCTATCCTACCACTCTTTACAAATAAAAACAGCACTTACCCAATACAATATGAGAGCCAAGACTTAACTTCTTTTTCCATTGCTCTAATACATTTTTTAAATTAGCAGCAATTTCTGGGTGCATTTTCAAGCAAAATATTGAACTACTTTCCACTACCTGAAGAAATCCAAAAATTAATAAAGTATAATTTCAATAAATATAAATTCAAAAATTCAAGAAAGTATAAACTATACCTCTTAATGACTTCAATATAATTAACAAGAACTACTGAGATAGTCTATTTTTATGCCAACCTCATTTATCTAGAATTTTTGGAGAATGATTTAACCAAATAAATTTTCCAGAACACTAAGCCTTCTAATGTCTTTAACACTATGAAAAATATTTGGGGAGAAGATGAAAATCTTTATGCTTTCCTACTTTTAAAGCACAGAATAACAACTATAATTTGATCTTTCTTGATAACTTAATCTTCTTTATGATCAGTAATGCAATACAGTAGATACCCTCACGGGTAGCAAAAGTTTGCCCCTACATGAAATAATTGTACAGTATTGTACTTTTATAGCTCTTTTCTATGGTTTACATAAATCTTTTGATATCAAGAAATCTCTAAATGTGTCATATTAGTGGCTAATATACTTCCTAAACTGGAAGAGGTAATTAAGTTTTTGGTTTATATAACCATAAGGTAAGGGCAGCTAAGTTCAACAGTGGATAAAACATAAGGCCTGGAGTCAGGAAGACTCATTTTCCTGAGCTCCTCAGACACTGACTAGCTCTGTGACCCTGGGCAGGTCGCTTAACCCTGTTAGCCTCAGTTTCCTCATCTGTAAAATGAGCTAGAAAAGGAAATGGCAAACCACTCTAGCATCTTTGCCAAGAAAACTCTAAACGGGGTCACAAAGAGTCAGACATGACTGAAAAAAATTGTACAGCAACAGGACTAAAAAAGATAGACACCGAGGAAATAAAATTGCTGTATTGGGTAACTGGCTTCCAGACAATCAGTTTATTCTTAAATTTTTCAATTATGTTCTACAGAATTACAATGAAATCTAAGGGTGAACTGGGGCTGGAGTACCGACCTGCTGAAATGCCTGCTATATGGTTGTGACATAGTCCAGTAGTCATATGGTTCAGTGACAAGATTATATAAAGTGAGTATATTATCTCCTATACTGGCAGTAAGTGAAACTGTTGTATGTGAACTTTGCGTGTTAATAGTTCAAAGCCATTGCACTAATATAATAAGATCACAAAATTTATACCTGTGATTTATGGATCATATTGCTTAATGATCTGAATTGCCTTCTAAGCCTGTACCATGCTGAGAATTAAGGAATCCTGTTGTAGGGAAAAAACCTTTAGCCTAAGAGACATAGATTAAGGGTACTGTGGGGGGGAGGGGGGGAAACAGCTCCTGGCTTTGTACTAGGGGTAGCAATGCATTAGCAAGGACAGAAGAGAATGATCCAGAGACTGGGGGTACAGGAATTTGCCAGGTCACCTGGAATGAAAGAATAACTGTCAGGGGACTGAGATAAGCTTAGCAGACTAGTGAGAGACTTCTTAGATAATCTGTACTTTGTATTTTATGTTTCCTTACTCTGTGGTAAAGTAATTTTGTATCTGAAATAGCTGACTGTACATTGTACTGTACCAAAGGAGATATAACACAAGAGGGATACTATAGAAAGAAAAAAGAGGAAAAGCTGTAGACCCGAAACCAAAATCTTTCAAGAAGAAATACTCGATTCCTTTGGGTGTTGGCAGCAGAAAATTACTTGAAAGGGAATAGAATTTTCTGAAAAACTAGATTCTCAATTCTGGAACCAAATAGGTAATAAATGTAAATTATGATATTATTTATTTCAACCATACTGTCTGTTATAACTCTGAGAAGACATGATAATCAATACCTGTTTTTAATTCTTTCTTCACCTCATAATCCTTGCAGTCTATTTACCTGGCCTAAGTTCTCAGAACCTGATTCACTTTTAGATAGAAGAACAGGCAACTAACCTTTGAGAACATAATATATTTCTCTTTCACTAGAAATTCTTACCTTACAAACTATTTCTGCTTCAGCCACAGAACTCGTGAATATCAAGATCTTCTGAGCATGACATGGACTGAAATCAAGCATTCGAAGTAACGTTGAGGTTTTTTCACAGTCTAGGCAAAGTTGCACTACCTAGTAACAGAAAAAAGAATAAAACTAGGTAACCTTTTTTTAAAAGGATAACTTTCCAAATTTCTATATTTCTTCTGGCTTCATTTTTCATTGATGGTATTTTGATGAAATCAAATGCATGAAATTGTCTAATTTAAATATTTATACAGTTATCTTAAGGTGTCAAACTCTTAAAAATATACCTTAAAGTATTTTAAAATTTTAGAATTAACACCTAAATTAGTTACAAATATACAAACATTACAACATAGCGCTTGAATCTCTGCACCAAGAAAAAAATTACACCCATGGCTTACCTGCTGTACATTTCCATAAAGAGCAGCTTCTTCCATGGCTGTTATAACAATGTAAGGATCATTCATAAATTCTTTGGTTAAAAGTTCTATATGTTTGCTCCAATGAGCTCCAATAGCTACAATCTGATGAGGTGCAGATTCTCTTTCTTCAATGATAATAGTTTTCTTGAAATAGTCTAAGATAGTAAGCATCTACAAAAACAATTATTTTATTTAGATTATTTGATTTAATGAAATATGCCTTAGAAAACTGGTGCTACCTGACAAACATGGATAAATATTAAAAATTTTAACTCAAATTACATCTATTTTTTTTTCTTGCAGAATTAGTCTCTAGGACTACCTTGAAATAGATTTTCTATTAATGTCTGGGATCTCTATATACTGTGGTCCTGCCAAATCACTCACAATCTTTCAGTAATATCTAATTCTACTACAGTCACATACATAAAGACTAAGATATAAAGGAACAGCAACTCTATAATGACCAGAATATTAAAGATAGCGACATTGATTCAGAAAACCTTGTTATTAAATTTTAAATGGGAGGAACAAAAATACAGAATGTACTGTCAGGCAAATGTTCTTCAATTCGAAAATCTAATAAACACACACTAAATGCAAAGCACTGTTCTAAGACAGAAGCAGTCTTTCTGCCAATGGCAGACTTAAAGAATAAAGATGATCTGGAACATACTCATCCTTTCTCAACTAGATACTTACATTCTAAGCCTTGTCAGAATTAAAATGCTGAGTGAACAAAATCAGAGTGAACAAAACAATTGTATCTGAGTATGAAATGTACTTACTTGCTCACCAGCTTCGAAGAACAATACTTCAACTTCATCAAAAATAAGGTGACAGAGTCTAAGAAATAATAAACTATGATACTTCAGAAGTCTCAAGAGACTATGGGGTGTTGTTATAATCACCTCACCTATTATTTTAGAAGAAAAAGTGATTAATATAATTCATCTTTTCTGCACATTTTTCAAACCTCTCCATAACTGACATATCACAGAACTGCTGCAGATTTTAGGAATAATTTCTTTTTGTTAGGTGTTTTTTTTTAAAGCAAATTGGTATATTTGAGGAAAAAATCGCTAAAATATTTAGTGTCAACTTTGAAGTGGATTCATAGTGTTACAGATTTAAGCTAAAACCAAAATACACAGGCTAGCTTTTTATATGTGGAGACTTGATTATATTCACATCAATGGAACGGAATGTTTTTTTTTAATAGAATGAACTTTGTGATTAACTCTTTCTATAAATCTTTTTTTGATTTAGTTTATATGTATAAGTTAGTTTATATGTATAGTCTAAAAAAAGGCTCTATCAAAAGGTTCAGGAATAAAATCAAGAAAAACACAAAGATACATTATCTTAGCTTTGTGCCAAATATTTTTCCTACATAAACTTACACTTAACACCATGTTATTTTTCTCTTACATGAACAACCAAAGTCTCCATTATTTTCCATTAAATATGCTTACATCCCCTCTGAAACTTCGTATTTTGAGCTTCTTCTTTGTTAAGTCCAATTATTAACAACATGGGATGAAGAGGCCTAGAACCTCTACCATACTCTTGTAATAATTCAAAAATGTGCTGCGCTTTTTTCCATCCAGGGCATACAATTACCACTAATGGCTGAAAAGACAAAAAAGAAATATTTCATATAATTCTGGATCAAAATTTAAAAGAATATACTTATGCATTAGAAAAGAAAATTTAATTTTATGGAATAGAAGTTACATACATTGAACTAAAATAAATCTAGCATCTGAATGACTTTCTGTAATAAATGAGATACAAACAAACACAGAATTTAAGGGGACCTGAAAGACCCCATAACCCAAACTTCTCATTTTACAGATGGAAGAAGTAGAGACCAAGAAGGCTACACCGATGTGTTCAAGGCCACAGAGATTACAGCAGACACGGAATCAAGCCAGGCCTGACTGTTAGTCCTGTGTCTTCCCACTACAGCTATGCCTCTTTTCAGTGTAGTTTAGAAACTGCATTAACACACAAACTTCTAAGACAACTATTCAGAAACAATAATAATCGGAAACCAAATGGTACTGTTAGAAGGAGCCTGACATTAATGCAGCTCCCCAAGGAGTAAATTACCTTCCGACTGCACTTTCCCTATCCCAAACCTCTGATCAAAAGGCAGAAATGAGTTCCTTCCAATACCCTCTTCCCCAGTCAAACCCCACTGTAAATGTCCCTAAAGGCTAAAATAATTTTGCCACACATTTCCTAGGGAAAGACTAAGAAAGACTCAACCCCAGGAATATCATAATGGAGGCATCTGAAGCACTGATATCACTAAAAAAAGTAACAAATCTTAAGAAAAGATTGTTCCAATCCTTCTACTTCTTGACAAAATAGAATTTGCTACCAAATATTAGTAAATCACTTATTTTACATAATGCCAACTATAACTCTGTTACTGTTGCCCACCAAGCCTCTCCACTCCTTAACGGCACCCTTTCAAAAGCACGGATTCCCACTATTGATGCTAACTGCAACACTACTGGAAAGTTGTGTCTTAAAAATCCCTAACCCTGGAACCATCACAGTGAGATGAACCTCTCTGAACTTCCCCAGGCTTACCTGTGGATGACACTCTTGTGCACTGCTGGGCCTCTATCTGGAGACTTTACAGATTAGTAGCACTCAAACCTTGGACTCTAATGGCATAGTTCTTGGAACCAAGGGTCACCCTCATCACACAGGATGAGGAACTGAAGTAGGGCCTTTATGACCTTTTTAGGATGCACACCGATTCACCTTCTCTCTGTGATAGCCTCCAAAACCTTTCAACCCTTCCATCCTCTTTATCACCTAGGCCCACACCCTATTCTTATCACCACACCTTTCCTCTTCTTCTTTCCTACTGACTTTCAATTTCATGACACCTTAGGCTACCAAAAGACAAAATTCCACTGGCAAAGCAGATGCTTAGTGAAGACATTTATCAGTAGAGAAAAGAAAAAGCAAGAATGTTGTCAAGAGTGAAAGATGAAGTTCTGGACAGAGGAAGCTGGGCTTGTTTGGGTTCAACTTGGGGCTTTATGAAAACTCTGAATCTGAATTTTAAAATATAAATTTAAATTTTTTTATCGTGAAACAAAAAGTTTTCAACTTACTCCATTTCTACTCGGTAATGACTTGTAGCAGCCCCCTGTTTGCAAAAATGTAAGCACTGGTGGAATATATAAGAGAGGATCATTTCCATTATGAGATATGACAATCACATCACATCCACGAGCTATTGGTGGCCAGCAATAAGACTCAGTGTGAGTGGGTTCTAGAAATTTATTCTTTCTAAGTGTCTGGAAAAGAAAAATAAAAACAAATTTAATCAAACAAAAAAGATATACTACTGGTAAATACTTTCTACTTCCTCTTTAAATATTTCAATATCACAAAGGATCGGTAAAGACATGAATGTAGGAACAGAGAATTTAGGAGGACATACAATTTTTTTCAAGTTTAACAAAGGGACTGAAAGGAAATTTTGCCCAAAAAATTTATTCTTTTTGGAAAAAAATTAGATAAAATGGTTAGATTTGGTCATCTTAACATATGTTCCAGCATTTAGTGTAAAAGAGACACCTTAAGGGTGTCAGCAAGGTCTAAGAAAACAACCCGTTCTAGATCAGGTTTGTCCTGACTCTGTTCCTCCCTGTGTGATCTTTAACAAATTATTCAACCTTCTAAGCCTGAGTTTTCTCACTGGTAAAATGGGAGAATTAGACTAGATGACCTCAAGAGATCTTTTCAGCTTCTATATTCCTTAAAAAAAAATAACTTATGAAGAATATTCTGCCCACTTCAAAGGCTCTACTTTTTGCCTGAAAACATAAATCATCACTATTGCTCTACTTACACTAATTACATATTTCCAAAATTACATATTCATTTTATTACATTTATTTGTTCAATTAATTACATGACATATTTTCAAATTACATACTTGTAAAATGAACTTCAATTTGTTAATATGAATGAGGGCTAATTTGAGATTTGTATTTTAGTGTGTAATGTCATCTATATCATTCCTGTCATCCTTCATAATTAAAGTGGATTGCCATCACAGTTAAAAATGTTCTACTTCAGCTCTAGTATAATGCATCTTAAAAATAAGGGCAAGATAAGTCTGTTTGAACCGTCACAATCAGAATTCCCTAGGATGTTTAAAAGAAACTGATACTCTATACTACAAGTCTCTGAAACTATACTAGGAAAGCCACAACTCTAAGAAAAAAAATCCAGAAAACTATCAATTTGCAAATAAGAAGAAAAAAATCTCAACTATTATATGAATGTATATGATTTTCCAAATCATTCATTGTCATGAAAGTAGATATTAATACCAGAAATCTCACCAACAATCACTATGGTATTAGGGAAGAAGGTATGACAACCTGAACTAAGTGACTATATTCTGAAAGATGAGCCAATCCCTCTAACTTTATCTCAGATCATAAGAAATAAACCTGCATTGTAACCAAGAGAAATTCTGAACTAGAAACAAAATTGAATTTACTGGATTGGATTGCCCAAGTTTTTCTACCATTGGGTATTCGATAGCTACCAAAGCCAAAAGGGCAGACTTGGACAGAATGGAGAAACTACTATATATACCATGCCTCTGATGGCTTTTTGACTATGAGATTCCCAAATACTTCAATGACACCAATAGTTTTAGCAAAGAAGGGGTCTGCCACTCTTTTAGCAACACTGAACTCTGCACTTTTATTTCAGTAGGGATTCTCAAAGGACAGACAATTAAGTATTCAAATCTACTACAACAAAAAATTAAATTACTCATAACTTCATATTCAGCTGACATCTAGAAAGCTACCACTTTTTACTAAATATAATCAAGTATACACTATTCCATTTATATTTTTTAAAAAACTGTAAAGAAAACAAAAGGACTCTTAAAAAGCTAGGTTGGGTTCCAGACTTAAGAAGGAACAGGGCTCCTACTGGAGATGGATGCAACCATTTAGAATAGCCAAAACTACTTAAGTCTTATTTTGCTTAGGTTTTTCTCTACTAGAAAGAATGCTTTTCTCAAAGTGAAAATGGGAAAATTATAATGAAATGAAAGCCCAAATAAATGAGGGTATAGTAAAAAGGGTACCTGGCTATCTTCAATGAGATCAAACTATCTAACTCAGACTAATTACAACCTAGGATACTTGTCTGCTTGCTGGGCAACTGTTGGCCACTAATATGGAGTATGTTCATACCACTCTCTAGGGTCAGTGATCAGTCTAGTGATGAAGCCATATGGTTAAAACACGGGGAATATTCTTCGGTGACCAGGCTATTTCAGGCTGGGAATAATAATAAGTATGTCTCATTTCTACAGTACTTTAAAGTTTACAAAGTGTTTTCCTTATGACAACCCTGGAGGTGGATACTAATGCCTTATTTTATACAGGGAAATGAGGCTGAAAATTTAATTGACTTGCTCAAGGTCACATGGCTACAAAGTGACAGATGTAAGAAACACGGCCAACCATTGCTAAGGTCAGGACTTTGTTAAATGAAATTTTGTTCCCAAAAGATGTTAGAAATAACCTTTTCACCTTAAGGTTCAACAACCAATACATATTTTAATCTAACTATACTATTTCTTCAATGCTGAAGTAGCAGACTCATTCTGAATCTTTTATTATTTTAGAGTAATATTAATTCACATTAATATGGTATTCTGTTAAATTTCTTTTCTCTCAACTACCCTGTGAAGTAGACAGTGCACATATTATCCTCACTGTATAATGCAAATATTATTTTCCTCATTAAATAGATGAAGAAACTGAGACTCAGATGAAGTAATTTGCCCATGATCACACAACAAATGCTGAAGGTAAACTTCTTTAACTATACTTTTTTCTAGCACCCTACAACTATCTCTCAAAAGGCATCTCACAGTCCAACCACTTCTGCATTGTAATTCCTCTGTGTTAAATAAGAGGCCCATCATGAAGGTGAGTTTTTACTTAGTTGGATACTTTTATCAGAATAAAGGAATAACTCAGGTTCCTTAGGATCTTAATTTGCTTTGTCCCATACCATCTACCCCACCTTTTCTTAAGGAGTGAACAATAGTTTTCTGCTTGTCTTTACAGCTCAGGAAAGAAAAGGAGAAAGAGGTCAATCAGGCTAGGAAATTTCTCTGAGGTCAAGGAAAAAAACCTGTGTAAATTTCTGTCTCAGAGACTTTCCACACACTTAACAGTAAAAACACTTTAATTATAGTCTACTCAAACAATAAAAATTATAGTCTACTACAAACAATAAAAGACTCCTCAGAGCTGAACAGAGAGAAAAGTTCTACAGCTCTTGATCTGCCTTCTAGCTAACTCATTCTCCCCTGTGAAGATCCCTGCTTATGCATACTCAAAAAAATAACTTTTCTCACACATATATAATTTAAGGTTTAAAAGCATTTTCTCTTAGGAACATTTACAATAGCTCTGCAATAAAAAGCATTAATGGAATGAAACATTAAACATGTAAAAAAAAAGCCATACTAATGCCATCTAAAGAACTAAAGACCATCACACTTCAATTATATATATCATTGTATGTACATATATATATATATATATATATATATATATATATATATATATATATATCATCTTCAACATGTTTTAAAGACAATATTTTTACCTTTTTTAAACCCACTGAAAGCGGAGCAGTTTCAAATGAACAGGGTTTAATTTTATTTCGAAGAACAACAGAAGGTTGCGGGATGCTAGACTTCAATTTCTGCAATTGATGAAGTAAGCAAAATTGATTATTAATTATGTTTAAAGATGACCACGAATGAAGATGCACAAAAGACACACAAGTTTTTTCAACATCATGGATACATTGACCAACACATAGATGAAAAACTGCTTCAATCAATGAAGTTAATATTACTGCTCAACAAAGGAGAAAGGTGGACCTCTGGACCTTCTGGGTGGAATGTTTGATAACCATCCACCCTTCTAAAAACATAGTACCTTCTCCCACATTCTCAGATCTAAAAGCAGAGAGGTGATGGTAATATAAACATGAGCAAAAATATTTTCAGTGCATTCTGAGGCCTTGGAATACCTGCAGTATGTCATGGATGCCATCAGTTTTCAAAGGATCAGGATTTAAAAACTGCAGCAACCTGTAAAATAGTTAGTCAAAATGACAATTTAAGAATATTTTTTGTGTTTTCAATTCAATTATTTTATTACCAGCTAAATGGCATTCAAAAACGGTCTTTCTGTCATAAAGCAAAGAATTATAGACGTTTTGGAGGTGAAAGGGTCCTTAAAGATTATATAGTTTATTCCCTTCTTTTACAGATGTGAAAAATGAGGCAAAGGAGGGTAAATTACTACACTGTCAGACAAATAATTCATTCTTGTAGGGACCTCGGACCTCTCTGTCAGCTAACAAGAGAAGCACAGAGTTTATTCTTTTTTTCTTTTTCTTTTTTGCTTTTAGGCAATTGCGGTTAAGTGACTTGCCCAGGGTCACAGAGCTAGTAAGTGTCAAGTGTTTGGTCTGATGCCAGATTTGAACTCAGGTCCTCCGACTTCAGGGCTGGTGCTCTATCCACTGCGCCACCTAGCTGCCCCCACAGAGTTTATTCTTAAGGAGCACATATCATGACATGAATATATTCACCCTCTAGGCCACACCTGGATCCTTAATCAAACAAAAGCACATCATCAAATTGCAGCTAACCTGCATGAAGGTGCTTTTTACATCTGGGTAACTGATAGAAATGCATGTAAAACTGTCTTTTTCATGGAAAAAACTTAGCTATTCTCAAAAAGGCAAAGTGTATTAAAAATCATTTTGAAATCAGTGCTTTGTTAATCTGAAAGGATACCGAGTTATCTACAGCTCCAAATTGTGAGGAATTCACTTCACCAGAGGGGAGCCTTTAGATAATACAAGCAGTGAAATTTATCTCTGTGATCAATTCTTTTTAACTCTAAACAACTTGGAGAAAAAAGTAAAAATCCAACAACCACAGAAATCAATAGCAAAAATTAACATGTAATACTGCTTCTGAAAAACTTCAGTCACCAGTAAATAAGCTAAATTGATGAACATTTTTACAACTGCTCCTTTTGGCACATTCCTCTACTATAATCAGAAACAATTCATGATTACTTACTACCAAAGAATTTCAGAAACACGAAACAGAACTTAAAACAAATCAGGACAAAAATGGCCTGACCACAGGAAAAAGATGCAATCAAAATTATTACATATACTGTATGTGGTACTATTGCTTCCAGCAGAAATGTAAAGTTGATTCTCAGTGTGAAATCATGTGCCAAATTCAAGTTTTCATGCCATTATTAAACTTTCTAATCACTAGAGAAAATTCCTTACTTCACACAGCCATTTTTTTCATCATATTTCTTCTTTGATGTCAATTTGAATTGTTTTTCATTTAACTTCTGACATGAACTAGAAATTTCAAGAGAAAGTTCATTTGAGAACACGTTATAAATAAACATGTCAAAAACATTGAAAATAGTTTAAAGAATATGTTACTACCTCATTTATCTGATAAAACTGACACTCTGGCTAAATCGGACTGTAACTGCTTCTCTAAAGTGTCCAGGCTTTCCTACCTTTAGGCCATCTTTTACATTGTTGTGGAAAGTCCTGCAGTGGCCTCCAAAATGTCTGCCAAGAAATGTTCCTCCATCTTTCCAGGCCTAGCTCAAATGCCACTTCTGTCATGCAGCCTTTGCTAGCTACATTTGACCCTATGGGATCTCTCCCAATTCGTACTTCTCTCGTAAGTGATGCATTATAATTATTTGCCCACATGTCTTCTCTCAGGTAAATGGTCTTAGCTTCTTCCACTTTTTCCTGCATGACATGGTTTCTAGACCAATCCCTCACCATCTCTGTCACCTTTTGGACTCAGCATCATCTGTATATCCCTCTCTTATGGTAACACACTAAACCTCAGGGACAGCATGACCAACATTGAACATAACAAGACAGGAATTAACTCTATGTCCCATGATATGGATGTTTTACTCTTATTAACAGAGTTTAAGATTATGCTCATTTTAAAAAATATCTTCCACAAAATACTGACTCAGATAAAAATCTGTGGTCAAACCCCCAGCACTAGACTAAAATGGAGGGGGGCTGCAGAAACCACATTCATTTTTAAATCACTCTCAATACCTATTTGTACAAACCTTTGTTTAATTACATTTTGAAGTCTTAGTTTAATAATTTACATATCTTTTATAATTATTCTGTTTCATCTTCCTGGTTTTAGCATATAGTTCTAGACTGTCAAATTTAAAAATCTGGATTCTATCTTTTATCATATTTATTATCTTTTGCTGCTCTATGTTTCACCTACAAATTTAATAAGGACCCCAATGGTGTGTTCATCAAAGGCACTGATAAAAACATTGCTGAGGATAGGGTCAAGCCCAGAGTCATTTTGCAGACCTTAAGCAAAAACTAAAGAGTCCAGTACATATAAAGCCATTAATTAATATTCAACTAATTTCAAATCTGTTTAATAGACTTATTGTCTAGATTACTTAAGAGATTTTGTCATTTGTTTTGCTGCACTATTACTAAAATACACCCTTTAGCTTTTTTGGAAATCAGGACAATTTCCTGTAGAGTTATCCTGTACCTCTTATGAGATTAAGATAGCTAAAATTAGTTCCATAAGCAACTTTGCTGAATTCTCGATCGTACCTTTCTGCATGTACATCTGGCTCAGCATAAATAGTTATGCCTCCTTTTCTAGGACAATATGCTGCAGTTGCGACAGTCTGTACAAAAACAAAAACACTTTCAAAAACACTTGGATTCCTAAGTATATACACCATTAAGGAAAATCCTAGTAAATATTTCATGCTATTAGAATATCTTCTGTTCAAACACCAGAAGTTTTAAAATCACTCAAAATTTATTTTCACATATTAAACAGGTTTTTTAAGATAAATGAGAAAATATTTACTATGAGTCAAGCACTGTGCTAAGTGACAGGGAATACAGGTATAAGTAAGCAAGACAGCCCCTCTCCCTCCAGCTCCATTTTAAGTGGAGAAAACAACACAAAAAGGTGCAATAGAGAGGAGGGAAGGGCTACTTGATAGGCAGCATGGTTTGGAAACAGCCAGAAGGTGATGTACTTCCAGGCAAGATAAGACAGAAATGACCCTACCACAGCCTGGATTCTCAGAGGCAGAGTGGATTTTAGGTTAAGATGGGAGAGGGGTGAGGACAGTCAAGAGTACAGGTATCTGGGAAGTCAAGTAGTACAGCAATTGGCAAGGTAAGAAGTCATCGTTAAGGCCCGAACTATAGTGCTTGTGATTTAAGTGAAGAGAAGGGGAAGGACACAAGTGATGGTGGGAAGGTTGAAGTGACAAGATATGGCAAGTGACTGAGTATGTGGGGTGAAAGAATATTCCTCTGTTATACAAGCCCTTCTCTGCCACTGGTGAATTCTTCCTAGAGCTTCCATTTTGTGGAGGGGCTTAGGCCAGCCAGCCTTCAGTCCCCTCCTGGGTGTGCTTCTGACTTTTTGCACTTAGACACTGTGCTCCTGGGCCAGAAAATCACCCCTGTTTTTAAATATGTGGTCTTTCCCCATTAGAAAATAAATTCCTTGAAGGCAGGGACTGTCTTTTTAGCCAGTATTTGTATTCCTAGCACTAATCCCAGGGCCTAGAACACAGGAAGTGCTTCATAACCCTCAGTTGTCTTACTTGAACAAATTGATTAAAGCTCCCTGAAGGCAGAGATTGCAAACTCTGTAGTTTCAGAGGTAGTTCAGAGCCAGCCTGAGCACTAGCACCCTGTAGTTGCACAGGAAATCACTTGCACTTGAAGTCGGGCCCTTGGCACTGGGAATACAAATCTGCAAGTCAAAGAACTCACCTCAAGGAATTTACATTCTAATATCAAGTAGGTCATGTGAATGGAACAAAGTATAGAAAAGGGAATAGTGTATAATTAGTCTGAAATGACAGACTAGACAGTTTGCAGGGCTTTACATGCTTAAACGGAGGAGTTTGTGTTTTATCCTAGAGGCAACAGGAAACCACTGAAATTAAAGCAGGGAATTGACCTGGTCAGACTTGTAGTTGGCAGCCGTGTAGAGAAAGAGTTGGGGAAAAAAAGAGGATGCAGGGCAATCAATTAGGATGCTACTGTTATAGTCCTGGTGTAAATGGTGAAGGCCTGAACTAGGGTAATTGTGGGGTGGGGAGACAGAAAAGGGTGGTTGGGAGAGATGTTGTGGAGGTAAAAGCAGACTCCAGGCCTGGCACTCTATCCATTGTACCACCTAGCTGCCATTTCAAAAGGCAGAAAAAGCAAGGAAGGAAATGACTAATTAGGACTTGATTCAGACCAGAAGGAACTAGTTGCTCAGTACAAATGGAATAATGTTCTACTTTAGATTCAATTAATCAGCAAGTATTCCTTAAGTGCCACCAACTGCAAGTCACTGTGGTAGGTACTAGGTATATACATGTAAAAAGAACGAACGAGTTCATATTCACAATGAACTTACATTCTAATAGGGAAGATAAGTACATACAAAAATACACAGAACACTTAAGTTGAAAATGAATAAATATAAAATTATACAACATAGCTAAACACAAGGTAGTTTGGCGGAAGGGCTCTAGCAGTTGGAAGGATTGGGAGAGGCTTCCCACAGAAGATGAGGTCTGAACTGCGTATTAAAGGAAAAGAGACTCTATGAGGAAGAGGTAAGAAAGAAGGGGATTCTCAAAATATGGGCTGGCTAACGCAAAAGGCATTGCAACAGGAGACAGAGCATCCTGTGAAGAATAGAAAGACCAATCTGCCTGTCTGTATACTGCATGAAGGGAATAATGTCCAATGAGGCTGGAAAGGGAAGTTGGGGCCAGGTTATAATGGTCTGAAGAAGCTGAACAGAGGAGTTGATATTTCTCCTGAGGCATCAGAAAAATGCTGTAGTTGGTTAGGTAGGGGAGTCACATGGTTTTATATCTGTGCTTGAGGAACATTACAATCATTTTGACAGCAGTGGGTAGGATGGGCTGGAGTGGTAAAGAGAAGCAAATTCCAGATATCACCAAATTGCAGAGCCAAAAAATAATTTTAGCTGCTGAAAGGCTAATTTGGGGGATATTAACATTACTATAACTCTGGCATTACTGGGAATTTCACTGCCTGCATCTAGATTCACTAGAGCATTTTAAAATTTAGGATTATATTGCTATTCCATAAATAAGAAATTACACGCAGAGCTATGCTACGTTGTTAAAAGTTGGCACACAGTACAATTTTAAAACACATTACTTTTATAGTAGCAAAAAAACTAGAAACCAAGTGGGTGCCCATCATTTGAGGAATGGCTGAACTGTAGTATGTGAACATAAGAACATTATTGCACCCTAAAAATAATGACTATGAAGAATTCAGAGAATTTAGAAAGACTGGTATGTACAGATGTAGAATGAAATAACCAGAACTAAGAGAACAGGTCACAAAGTGACCACAATCACCGAAAGGGAAACATTGGCATAATACATAACTCTGAGCAATGCACTGACTAATTTTCACTCTGGAGGACTAAAAGTGGAACACACTTTTTTTTCAAGATATGGAACACATCATGTTATCAGTGGCCAATTTGTTAGTTATTTCCGTTTAAATACAGGGGGTCTCAAAAATCTTACTGCCATTTTAAGCTATTAAAGCTGCCACATAGCAATAATATTCCCTTATGTTCATATGTGACAGTCCAGCCATTCCTTGGCTAATGGGCACCCACTTAGTTTCTAATTTTTTCTACTACAAAAAGAGTTGCTATGTTTTGCTATTAGAGCTTAAAACTGCAGTAAGATATTTGGGACACCCTGTATAATTCTTTCTTATGGGGAAGAGTTCTGCTGGGTCAAAGGAACATCGTTAGCATCTGTTAGAAAATCACAAGAATATTTTAAATAAATCAATAAAACTTTTATTAAAATTAACTAGTAGATGTGATAACAAAGCTATTATTAGCTCTCTGTGGGGGGAAAACATGGTGATTAGGAGAGAAAAGAGTCTTGATTTTTTTAAAAAAAAAAGTTTGAGTTTAGCATCTTCCAACTATTGAATGCGGAGGCTGCCTTTCATTCATGGCAAAATTCTGGAATATGTTATTAAAGAGATGATTTGTGGGCATGTAGAGGAAACTGTGCTCACTACCATGCAGCATGGTATTACTCAGAACTGTTCATGCATGCAAACTAACTTCATTCTCTCCTGAACAAGGTCATGAGACATGTAAATCAGGAGGATGCCTTAGATATGGCATATCTGGATTTTAGGACAGTACTGTGTAAAGCTTCCTATGTTATTCTTGACAATAAAATCCAGAGATGTGGGAAGGAGGAGAAAGGGAAAAGGAAGCCTTTATCAAGTGCTTCCTATGTACCACAAAACGCATGCTAGGCATTTTACAAATTATTTCATTTGATCCTCATGACAATCTTGGGAGGTAGGTGCCATTATTTCCCCCATTTTGAGGTGAAGTGACTTGTCCAGGTCCACACAGCTAGTAAATATCTGAGACAGAAAGTGAACTTAGGTTTTCTTGACTTCAAGCCTAGTGCTCTATCTAGGGCCACATACCTAACTAAACAGGATGTCGTTAGAGTTAGGCGGATTCATAATGACATTAGCACTTAGCAGTCATCCAGTCTCACTCTGTCACTTTACAAATTATGAAACTGAGGTCCAAGAGGGTTACAGAGCTTGCCCAAACCAACCTTTCGCTCTTCCAAGAGTTTTGTCAAAGAGGTAGATAACTGAGCTAATGACCTACTTATCAAATTTACAGATGGCACAAACCTGAGATGAACAGCTAAGACAATGGATGACAGTCAGGATTAGAAAATTACCAAAGCAAACCTGGTAAGATGGACTTTAATAGGAATAAATTCCAAATCTACAATTAGGATTTTTTAAAAATCCATTGCAGAGGCAGCTAAGTGGCGCAGTGGATAGAGCACTGGCCCTTAAGTCAGGAGGACCTGAGTTCAAACCCAGCCTCAGACTAAACACTTGACACTTACTAGCTGTGTGACCCTGGATAAGTCACTTAACCCCAATTGCCTAAAACAAAACAAAAAACCAACAAATAAAAATCCATTGCAAAAGTGGATTTCAGAAAAAAACTTGGAAAGATTTCCACGAACTGATGTGAAGTGAGCAGAATCAGGAGAACATTGTACACGTCAACAGCAACATTGTGCGATAACCAACTATAACAGACTTAGCTCTCCTCAGCAATGGAAAGATCTAAGACAATTCCAAGAGACTCATGACGGAAAATGCTATCCACATTCAAGGAAAAAACTATGGAGTCTGAATGTAGATCAAAGCATACTATTTTCTCTTTTCTTTTGTTTTTTTTTCTTTCTCATGGTTTTTCCCTTTTGTTCTGATTCTTCTTTCACAACATGACTAATGTGGAAATATGTTTAATGTGATTGTACATGTATAGCCTATATCAGATTGCTTGCTGTCTTGGGGACTCAAAATCTTATAAAAGTGAATGATGAGGGGCAGTTAGGTGGCACACTGGATAGAGCTCCACCCTTGGAGTCAGGAGGACCTGAGTTCAAATCCAGCCTCAGACACTTGACATTCACTAGCTGTGTGACCCTGGGCAAGTCACTTAACCCTGATTGCCTCACCAAAAAAAAAAGAAAAAAAGAGAAAAAAATGAATGTTAACTATCTTCACATGTAATTGGAAAAAATAAAATACTATTAAGTGGGAAAAAAATCTACTGCAAAAGTATAAGAAGGGAAGACATGAATAGAGAATAATTTTTTAAGAAGAAAATGTCTACAAGCTCAAGATCAATCAACAGTGTGACATGGAAGCCAAAAAAAGAAAGCTACGGCAGTCACATCATCAATATAGATATACTGTCCGAGAGGGCAACAATGATGGTAAGGGGCCTTTTCTGGTTCTTGGACTGCCTCCTTTTGCAGTCTAGTTAAGCCTATGGACCCATTCTCAAACTAATACCTTTAAATGCAAAAAAATAAAATACACAGGATTAGAAAAAATGAATTATATTCAAATATGGTTATCAAAGTATTTTTTTTAAAAACATGTAATAGACCCAAGGTTAAAAACTCCTGCCACAGAAGAATCAGCTGAAGGAACCAAGAACATTTAGCTTGGAGAACAGAAGACTTAGGGGGTTACTTAAGAGCAGCTGCCTTCAAGTATCTGAAAGGCTGTCATACTGGAAGAGGGATTTGACTTTCTGATGCCAGAACGCAGTACTGGGGTTATAAGCTGGAGACCCTGAAAGGTATCTGATTTTGGCTAGATAAAAAGCAAAATTTTGTAACAATAAGAACTGACCCAAAGTGGAGTCGGCTCCTTTAGAAAGTATTTGCCTTCTAAGTCATGGAAGGTTTTCAAGCAGAGGTTGAATGACAATTTGCTGAGGATATTAAGGTATGTCTCATTCTGCACTTTGAGTCTGGTACCTCATACGTCAAGTGGTGGGTAGCACGCATGGGTCCTTTGACATCACTGCTGGACACTGTATTAATCAGAGTTCTTAAGTCTTTCAAAGTTGCTTATTTTTATAACCTTGTTATCACCGTATAAATTGCTTTCCCAGTGTCCTTCATTTTCATTCCGTATTAGTTCAGGCACGTTTTCCCATTTTCCCTGAAAATGTCCCTTTTTTCTTACAGCAGTATTTACGAATATTCCATTAATTCCTGTACCATAATGTGTTCTGCCATTCCCCTAATCATAGGCATTGTCTCATAAGTTTTCAGTGCTTTGCCTCTATTAAAAGAGCTACAATAAGCATGTTTATACAGATGGATTCTTTTCCTATTTCTCTGATCTCTTTGGGTATGGAAGTTTAGTGTATTGAAAGAAAGGATTTTCTGCTGAGGTCCCAACTCTAAGATTCTATTTAACAGGAGAGTTGAATCTCAAAATATTGATTCAAACAATTGCTATATTCACTATGTACAGAATAGTGCTCAGGTTATAGTTGAGTACCTCTGAAGATTAAAAAGTTTTTGTTCTTATTACAGATAAAAAAGCAAGACCATAAGCTTTTCTGTTAATTCAGTTTTAAATACTTACAATTTTATTTATTTCTTTTGAATACATACACTCCTTTTCTTTATATATCTTCTCTATCTTCTCACTCACTTTTTTAGAGGATAAATCTAATGAAAGTCCATTATGTTGTAAAATCACACCTGCAAATAAATAAATTGTCACATAAAGCATTTGAAAATGATACGGTGCAGATGAGAGATGGAGGAAAAAACGAGGATATAAAAATAAAAACTGAAACCCTAATGGAATGCTCAGAAAATGTGGAGTTCAATTTAATTGAATTTTGTGACTTGTTCAAAATTAAGCCCCAATCCCTTTTCTCAACTTCTGTTTTTGGAAATTTTTTGGAAATATTAACACATTTTCTTGACTTCAAGTTGTTTTCCAAATACTATACACGTAATATTTCTCTTTAATGATTCTTAGGACCCTGCAATGCTCCTGGGAGATCATTCAAAACATTAATTTTCATTGTGCTGTTCTACAGTTGTAGAAGGTGCAGAATAACAGGCTGACCACCCCAGAACTTTTCATGAGCTTAAGGCAAGTCTTTCTAACTATGCTTAACAGTAGAAAATCTTTATGGCTCATAAGGCTGGATTTTTGAAAATAGTCTAAGGTCTAAAAGAAAGGCTGGTGAATAAGGAACATCAAGCTAAGTAATACCATTTGTGACTAAAAAAAAAAGGCTTAATTTTCCTTGTGCAGTGAGTATATTAGGGAAGGAAATTCGAGAAGAAGAATGTCCAAAATAGTCTGAACAATGGCAACATTGCTGGAATACCTGTCAAGTCTTCCAAGATAGCTATTTTAAGAGTAAACTCTCCTTTTATGACATTCTACTTTTATATTAAAAGCCTGCTTCCAGTTTTTCAATGAAGTCAAAATTATATATAGTCATATGAAAAAATGCTCTCAATCTTTACTGATTAAAGTAATGCAAATTAAAACAACTTTGAGACATCATTTCACACCTATCAGATTGGCTAAAATGATAGAAGGGGAAAATGACAAATGTTGGAAAGGATGTAGAAAAACTGGGACATTAATACACTGTTGATGGAACTGTGAACTGATACAACCATTCTGTAGAGCAATTTAAAATTCTGCGCGAAGAGTTATTAAACTACCTATACCCTTTGACCTAGCAATGCCACTATTGGACCTGTTTCCCAAGGTGATGGAGAAAAAAAGAAAAGAACCTACATATTCTAAAATATTTATAGCAGCTCTCTTTGTGATGGCAAATAACTGGAAATTGAGGGAATGTCCTAATAAGTTGTGGTATATGATACTACTATGCTGTAAGAAATGATGAGCTGGTTGATTTTAGAAAAACATGGAAAGACTTCTGAAATAGCAAAAAAATGAAGTGAGCCAGAATCAAGAGAATGATTTATGCAACAGAAACATTGTTTGAAGAATGACTGTGAACCAAGTTATTGTGAGTACTATAAATATTCAAATTAACTAAAAAAGGCCTATGAAGGAAGATGCTATCCACTTGGAGAGAAAAAACTGATAAATAACACTATACATAGTATGGTTTCACATATATTTATAATCTGCATCAAAAGGTGTCCCTCTCTAGTGCAGTTTGGGGAGTGAGACAGTTCAGAACATAAAATGTAACAAAAAAAGAGAAAGAAATAAAAGCCTGCTTCAATGTAAGAACATTTTGCATATGAAAATCTGAGAGCATAAAACAAATCAAGCTTGACTTCTACATTAAAATGAATTTGCAGAGTAAAATAAGTTGTTAAATTTATGAACATTAAATCTGAAAAGACCTTTACAGGAGTCAACACGTAAAGCAATGCTGCTGTAACTTTGTACACGGTACATTTCGCACTGCATTAGCTCATATAAGTCTTTCCAGGTTTTTCTGAGAGCATCCTGTTCATCATTTCTTATAGCACAATAGTATTCCATCATAATCATATACCACAATTTGTTCAGCCATTCCCCAATTGAGGGGCATCCCCTCAATTTCCAATTTTACATTACATCTCAGTGTAGAACAGTTTCCTAGAGTTTAAACTAATTTAAGTATTTAAGCATCTTCTATGTGCTCGACACTGAGAATACAAAAATGAAAATGAAGACTGTGCCTACCTCCAGAAGCTTACAGTCCTGTCTCCACTCGTGAGGGTCCCCTTCCCCCTCACTGACCTCCATCACCTCTCACCTAGATGCCTGTAATAGCATTCACCTAGTCTCCCTGCCTCAAGTCTCTCTCCACTCCAACTACTCCCTCACTTACTTACTAAGATGATCTGACCATAATAGCGCTTTATAGATATTAATTTGTTTGATCCTCACAACCCTGGGAGGTAAATGCTGTTATTATCTCCATTTGATGATTCAGGAAACTGAGGCAAACAGAGGGTTGGTCACACAGCTATTTAACACTGCATACCTAGTTATGTGCATGTCTCCCCCCATCAGAAAGTACACTTCTTGAAGGCTTAGCATAGTGCCTGACATGCTGTTAGTGCTTAAGTAGCTGTCGACTGACTCAAAGCGAGCAGGTTTCATAGCGTGACTCTGCTATTTACCGTCTGGCGTGACCTTGAACAAATCCTTCCGCTTCTCAGTCTCAGACCCTCCTCTATGAGGGAGCTGAACCAGAACAGGTAGCAAACCAGAGGCCAATGCCTCCCTACCCCAGTGCCATTCTGCAGCCCACTGGAACCAAACTAAAATGTAACTGGTAAATGTTTAACAAAATAAAAGTTTAATTCAACATACATAATGTTAGTTTGTGGTTTTCTTAGTTAAGATGCAACCTACATGGATCCATTTCTATTTGAGTTTTATACCACTGAGTGTGGGGATCATGAAAAATTTGACAACGGTAAAAGGTTTCTGAACATGCAACGACCAAAAATTAATTCAAAATCAAATGTGTAATGAACCCGAGGTGTTTCTGGCACTGCTTGCCCATGTTGCATCGCACGACTTCACTGAAGCCTTGGTTCTGAACACAAAAGCGCACTCTGCACTGTGAGTGCCATCACACTACATGACACCAATGAAAGCTGCCAGAAACACCTGTCTCAGAATCAAGACTATTGTATATTATGAACTGCAGTGTTTTTATTATACATACAAAGTTTTCTGCTCTTACAGAAACAAAACAGTTTAATTATGGAAATCAAAGACTTTTAATATTTTCCTACCGTCATTCCTCAGCATTTAAGTATCAAATTAGTATATCTTTGGATTGTATTGTATTAGACTGTTTTATTTTGGGGGCAGCTAGGTGACACAGTGGATAGAGAACCAGCCCTGGATTCAGGAGGACCTGAGTTCAAATCAGACCTCAGACACAAAATATTCACCAGCTGTGTGACTCTGGGCAAGTCACTTAACCCCAAATGCCTCAAAAAAAAAAAACCAGAATGTTTTATTTTTTAAATAGCTGTTATCTCCTTCTTTTACAGAAACATGAGTCTTTAATTCCAGCAAGTAAAGACAAAAGCCCTTTAATAATATTTGTCCACCATCACCTCTATATATGTATGTAAGTGTGAACGTCAATTTTTTATTTTTATTTATTTATTTTGTGAGGCAATCAGAGTTAAGTGACTTGCCCAGGGTCACACAGCTAGTGAGTATCATGCGTCTGAGGCCAGATTTGAACGCAGGTCCTCCTGACTTCAGGGCCAATGCTCTATCCACTGTGCCACCTAGTTGCCCCCAGAATGTCAATTTTTTAAATAAAGCACAAACAAATGTAATTTCATAAACTAAAGCTAGCATTTATTTGAGAAATTATTAGCAATATTTATTTAAATTAGGATAAAAATATTTTTTTGGTTATGGATAAGTGGCTAAATTTAGACAAAATAGGTAAAACTACTGATGACGACGCAGCAGGGTCTTTGCTACCAGGTTGTAGTACACCTAAATTGACAAGAAAAATAAAATATGTTGAATCACGTGGCTCTCAAAAGGGTGAAGTTTAAATAGATTGCTGAAATTCAAAGATGAAGTTGTTATATATTTGACTGAGAGAAATCTGATTTTGTTAATTTTTTACACAATGTGAAAAAGTGTGTTGTCAGATATTTTCAAAAAACTCAATGAGTTAAACATGTTGCTTCAAGGATAAAATTGTAACATTTATGTTAAAAGATAAAATTGAAAGTTGTACTAAAGATTTTATAACTGAAAATAAACTTTCCAAAGATTTAATTGTAAGACTTATAACTGACCAACTGAAGTGCCTGGAGACACAGTTTCAGAAATATTTCCCTTCAAATTTTGATTCTAAAAAAACTTAAGTTGGGTTCATAAACCATACTCATTTGAAATAAAAAATATCAGTCATCTGACATTAGAAGTTCAAGAAGAATTTGCAGAGTTATCAAGTAACACATGTTTAAACTTGAGTTTCCTAAAAAATCATTTAATGAATTTTGGCTTGGCATTAGAACAGAATTTCCAACAATTTTTGAAATGGCCCTAAACATACTTCTGCCGTTTTGTACTACATATTTATGTGAAGTGGTGTTCTCAGCACTGAGGATTATAAAATCAAAATATCAATCACCTCTGAAAACTGTTGCAGACGCCTCACATTCCACAGTATCAAATATTCTGCTAAGATTTTATTCTTTATGTAAAAATAAACAAGTACACCTATCTCATTAGCATGCAAATTTGCTTTCATCTTTAATAAATGGTAAAATTAAATGTATACCAAAGAATTGTTTTAAAATAAACTTATTTATGATTTATTCAGTAAATGTTTGATTTGAATACCTATTTTATATACATACATACTGGGGGTCACGTAAAAATTTCTCAGGTAAAAAGGGGTAGCAAGAGGAAAAAGTTTAAGAAGCCCTAGACTAGATGACTTCTAAGGTCCCTTCTCTCATTTAATCTATGATCCTACTAGAATAGCTATGCCTGAAAAATTCATAATCTTTTAGCCTAATGATAAAATTCAGTCAAGCTGGTCCTCAGATAAGAATCCATCAGTGGACCCGTCATGGTCCAAAGGTGTAGATTTCATGAAGCAATGGTGATGCTGTCACAGGATCACAGATTTATACCTGAAAAGCACCCTAGAGGCCATCTAGTTCAACCTCATTTTACAAATGGGAAAATTGAGGTGCAGGGACATTAAGTTAATTGCCCAAGTTGATATGGGTAGTAAGAATCAGAGACAGGATATGAACTCAGGTCTTCTGACTCCACAACAGTATAGGACTTTAGTGGAGTATACTGAGCTAGTTCTCTTTGAAAGAAATGACTGAAAACATAAAGATATTTAACATGTATTTACATGTGAAGTAATACATACCTTTTTCAAGTTTTTCTGGAATATTTTCTTGCAACAACATTGGCCAAAGAGCAAGTGCAGGATTGATTTTATCTGGAGGGGATTCCACATTCTTTGGTGTAGCTTTCTCTGGGCAATCAATTTTTTTTTCCTTGGGTGTTACATAACAAGCAAAGTTCTTTGCAACCAGATCATCATTAACACATACCTTTAAAATTAAACACAAAAGTATTGAGAAAGAATAAAGCTAAATGACAGTTAATTCTGCTAAATGGTACCACAAGCTCTAAGTCGCATTTGGCACAGTGCCTAATGGTAAAGAATAGTCTGCCTCCCCCAAGGCCACAGATTAGGGAATCTTCTGATATCTTCTGAGATATCCCCAACTTCCTCAGTCCCACCTACTGCTAACTTCAAGACTCTTCACAGGTCATTCTTTCACCTCAAATACCTTCTTTATATGTGTTTAACCACATATCTTCTTTACCCTCCAAAAACCATCTGAAGTACCCCTCTTGACACCTGACCTGGTCTTTCAGAGTAGTGCAAAAAGAACACTGCATTCGGAGCCGGAGCTGGGTTAGAAACCTGCTTGTGATACGCTACTTACTCCTCCCTGTGTCATCTTGGACAGATCACTTCACCTCTCTAGGTCTCAGTTTCCTCTTTTGTGAAATGAGGGGCTTGGACTAGATGACCTCTAAGTTAGTGTCTGCGCTATGTTTATAATCCTCCATTCACATTATAAAATCCAGCATCATTTCAGATACAAAAAGACTTAAGTGAGTAGTGAGAACTATCCCCATTTTCTCTTCTGAAAGTTGATATGAAGGGATTTTTCCATACCATCATTTAGACCTATTCAAGGAGATAAAAATTTGGGTGTGAGCGGCCCTCCTCCTGGACGTTAAGAGGGTCATCTTATACAATGGCACTGCAGGATACAATAGGCCTATGTCTGGTCAGATTTGGGCTAACTTAAAAAATTTTTTAATTTCTACCTTGAATCTTCAAAAGCTATTTTTGCTGAACAAATCTGATTCAATTAAAATATAGTGTCTTAGCATACACCCCAATTAAGATCCATAGCTATAATAAAATGCCATTAATTTGGTCTGCATTCTTTTTTTTTTTTTTGCAAACATCAACAAGAACTGGGATATTTACCTTTATCATAATGTTCTCAAACTTTTTGGTCTTAAAATCTTTTTTATACTCTTCAACTTCAGTAAGGACCCCAAAGAGCTTTCATGTAGGTTACATATCTACTGATATTCACCATATTAGAAATTAAAGTGTCTTAAAAGTATCATGAAAATATTTCGACCTCAGAGACCCCCAGGAAGGGTCTCAGGGACCCCAGAGCTTCCAGACCACATTTTGAGAACCACTGCTTTAACAGACTGATTGTTAAATAAATGGGGTTCAGACTGGTGATTTTATTAGTGTTAGAATTTTGGTATAAAACTTCTCTCTACCAATGAAGCTGCAGAGCTTGAAAAACTTACGGTTTTAAAAAATTTCCTGGGGCACTGAGAGGCTAAATGATTTGCTCCTGGTCCCACTGTATGTGTCAGAAGCACAACAGAAGCCAAGATCTTCTTGACTCTATCTACTTCACCACAACCTATCACTCTTCATAGACAATGCAAATTAGTAGTGCCAAACAAAGCTGACTCAGAAGTGTTTAAAATGCTGCATAAAGGGGAAAAAATTTTTTAATGCATCAGACATCTTAAAGTGTCTGAAGGTATTTACAAATATATACTTAACTATAATTTTTATTTACTATAAAAGAAAACAGATACAATTCCTAATCACTTTTACAGTTTAGTCAGCCAAGTATCAATTAATATGTATAATTTAAAGTAATGGAAATGTATTTTTTAAAAAAAAATTATAATTCAGACTGATCTGAGTCTAAATTAGGGACATTTCATCGAACTACAAATAACTTTCTATTCTAATATAATTCTATTTGAAAACGGTCAGTTCCCAATTTTGGAATATTCACTTATTTATGGTCAATTTCTAAGGGTAGCTTGGCTTTCCCCTGTCACCCAGCATTTTTTTTAGGCTGTCAACTTTTTGATCAATAAGGGCTTGGCTGATAGAGGAGATGAGCTTTCTTACTTCCTTTTCGCCCCTAATGCCTCGATTCCAATTTTGGATATTTTTTAAAAGTAAAAGACAATCTGTCAAACCCATCACAAAGTTGAGAGATACATAAAAATCAATTAAGGCTATATTTCAAACACCACCCTAACTCAATTAAGACAAAATTTTAGTTTACTATAGTTACAAAATATTCTACTAATATAAGCAACACTGCAGAATAACACTGGACCAGAAGAAGCATAGGATGAAACTAGTAACTAGAATATGATTCAGGAAGAATATACTCTATTCAAAAGAAACACAATACAGGGAGGACAGCAGGATAATAGTTTATATATTTAAAATTTCTAAAAATTTCTCATAAACTTAATCTAACAGAAGCATTTCAATTTACAAAGAGGCTTATATAACTAGTTATTAATTTGATATGCATAGTTTTTAATAGTTTGTATATGTTAAAGTGGTTAAAAAAACCCTGCTCTTTGTTCCCTTCTGCCCTTTTTTCTTCTGTGCACTGAAATAATGTAAGAGCATACAAATATATATATATACACACACACACACACACACATATATACATATATTTGAGCATCTTTCCCTGCCCCCCTCCAAAGAAAAGATCTGAGGATTTTAGTGGATTACATGCTCAATACAAGTCAACATTGTGATGTAGCACCTAAGAAACCTAATGTGGCCTTAGCACAGCACCCAGAAATAAGGAGGTGGCAGGCTAATGCTCCATTCTGTCTTGAGCAGGCCACAATATTTTAGTTAAGACAAAGTAGGGTAAGGTAACCAGGATACTGAAATGACTCAAGTTCTAGCCATATGAGGTTAGAATTAGGAATGTTTGGTTTGGAGAAAAAGAGATTTAAGAAGGAAAATAAAGTATTGTTCAAGCATTTGAAGCACTGGCCTTCGGAAGAATTAGATTTCTTCTCTATTGGAAGGAAGGGGGTGAAAATTGACAAGAGGCAAGTTTAGGCTTGACGTAAGGGGAAAAAAAACAAACTTCCTTATAATTAGCCCTATTCCTAAGTGGCACAGGCTGGCTGCTTTGGGCAGGTAACAGGTTCCACCTCACAAGGAGATCTATGAGGGCTGGACCTGATCATTAGAAGGGATAGGCAACAAGTAACAGGTGGATTAGATGGCTTCTGATGTTTCTGAAAGTCTATGAATTCAAATCCAGGATTTTTTCCGCTACAAACTGATCTTGACTTACCTTTTCATTTTTTATAGTTATATAAAGGTAAACATCAAAAATATCTTCTTCCATACCACATAATTTTGCTTCAAAGTGTGTAGCTGCTAAGTATAAATAATAGAAGTGTCATTTATACAGCAATAAAATAAAAATATCTTTGAAATTTAGTATTAAATATTCAACTTTTAATTTTTTAGAACTTAGACGATGCTAATTGGCATTAAAAAGATCAAGCTAACAATCAGATCATTTTCTTTTGCACTCTGCTTTATACACCTATCACCTGGTACCTTTAACTTGAAAATCTCCCCTACTCTTCCCAGCAAAAGAAGTCCTAACAACCATCCATGATAACTCTCTGCAACCCCCACCAAAAAAAAATCGGGGGGGGGGCAGTAAATCAGGTTTAAAATGAAGGCAAGGAATTACAAAAGTGAGAGAGAATAGGTCCTTGATGGCAGGGACTGTTTCATTTTCATCTTTGTACTCAGCGCCTGGTACAGAGAAGGCACTTAGTAACTGTAGCTAAAATAAATGTTAAGCCTGAGAATTCAGAGCAAATGAATCTTCAGCATAAGGAAGCTCCCTACATGGGGATTCCTTTCATTATTATACTATATAGGTTTGTATCCTTTGTTGGACCATCTTTATTTTTACTAATTTGAACCACAACAGCTCAATCCTTAGGCTTTTGCTCCATGCTTCTACACTAATTTCCTCAGAGGAATCACCCTTTTTTACCTTAGTATTGTTAGCTAAGTCAAACAAATGACTCCAGAGACAAATGTATCATATATCCAAATGCCTATACAGGACAATTCTACTGAAATACTCCATCACTGTCACTTGAAATGACTAAAACTAAATTTATCATATTCCCAACCTCTGAGCCCAAACCAGCGCCTTCCAAAATTAACACTATTTCTAGTAACAACTCCTTTCTTGCAGTCTCAAAATGTTTGAGATTATTCTCCCTTCTTCCCTCTCCTTTGAAACTGATATCCAGCTAATCACCAAGTCTTGTCATTTTTTCCTTTCCAACATCTCTCAGATTTATCTTCGTAAATTCCTAGGACCAAGACCCTGATGTACTGGCCCTCACTTCATTCCTAGATGAGTGCAACTGTCTAGGTGCTCTTCCTGCAAATGCTGCAACATTCTTCAATATTTCCAAGATCTATGCTTGCATCAAAGAGAGTACTCCCTTCTACTGATGCAGATCACAATCTTTCTATATGTAAGTTTTTCATGAATTATAGTGGCTTTAAATTCATGAGATGACAGCCAATCTTCTGGTGATTAACGTCTTTGGACTTTGCTATGCTGGTCCTCAGATTAGAGGACATCATTCCCTGGCCTACTCCTGCAAAATACACGCACGCACACATGCACGCATGCACGCGCGCACACACACACACACACACACACACACACATACCCCCAACACCCCCCCCCATACTTATTGCAATATTTACAACTCTACTTGTGGTTTTACACCAGTCCTACTTTCCTACAAAATCGCGTGCCTCCTCCCCTTTCATCCATCTAAACAAATCCTATCCACCCAACACCCAATTCAAGGCCTATTTCCTCCACATGAGAATTCCTACAATATTTATGGTCAATACTATACAATTAACAATCTTGTAGTACCTCATAAGATATACTATTTATTTCTTGTCTAACAATCAGACTGAAGGCAGGGCCCATGTATTATACACAGGCACCCAATCTAGTGCTAGTTACAAAGTAAACATTCATATTCATACTAGAATTACTAGTATGCTTTTTCCTATTCATGATATAAAGAAGCTAACTACAATTTTAAAATTCAGACATATTGACAAACTTAGGAAGAAAACACTAATTTTTATAAAATCTTTAGTTATCTATATAGCAGGCCCTTCTCTCTCCTCTCTCAGGAATTTGATCATTCCAGTGTTTTAAAAAGTGTCTTACCAAATTAACAGTAACTATGACATGAAACCCAGAATGCATAAACATAAGGACTGCTTCTGCTTTTACTTGTCTTACCTTTCAGAATATTCTGAAAGTACTGAATAGCAGCACTATCCCATTTCTTAGCAGGTCTAGAAAAATATTGAACACAAATTAATTCATTTTTTTCACTAAAAGCATTATCATAAGAAGAACCTGATATTGATTGTTCTTACTTTTGTGGGGGTTTTTGCATTAAATTTTAATATTGTTGATTTACTTTACTTGACTGTACTTGTTACAAGATGGTTATCGTAGAAGGGAGAGTCACTGGGAAATGACTGAGCTATTATAAAAAAGCATCAGTAAACATTAAAAAAGAAAAAAATATATTATAGCCTGAATATAATGATAACAAGGGATATAAGAACCCTTTCCCTCTGTGGTTAGTAGACATGGTTTTAATGCCCATGACAGGTCTATCCTACAGTGTTGCTGTCTACACTAAAGAAGGAAAACTGAACATTTCTATGCCTGGAGTAGCTGTCAGCGCCTCATTTCAGACCTTCTGTTATCCTAGTCACCTTCCTCTGAATAGATATCAGTTTGCCAGTTGTGACAGCTAGAACCAAACACAGCATTCCTGAATACTGTCTACCCAGGAGAAAGGAGATTAGAACTAAGAACTTCTAGTTCCTGTGACCTTACTAAGTACTATCAGCAATGACCCTCATTTGGATGGCAGAACTGTTCCCATTTCCCTTAAGAATTTCTGTCCCATAAGAAATGACTCAATAACATATTTAAGTTTCAGTAAGATTAAATTTATACTTAGACTTTTGGGACACTTTGGATATACATACGTATATATGTATATACATATATGTATATGTTATGTGTGTGTGTGTCATACATAATATACAAATGATAGCTTAATTTTGTCTCTAAAATAAGTGCACAGGAAAGATGTTGTATGTGTGCTGAATGCATGCCAGGGAAACAGGCCCAGCAAGAGAAATGGCTGCACAAGTCAGGAAACATTTAAATAATGCAATGAATGACAAATCAAAAGGCTTCCTAAGGGAAAATTAAGTAGGTTCAGGGTACATTCTTACCTTTTAATGATGATTAGAGGACAACTATCACGTTATACTCTAAAATGTCACTGTCAAGGAAAGAGTAATGAACTAGATGATACTCTGAATTTATGAGTTGAATTGGAAGAAATGCTGAAACAATTCCCAAAGCAAGTAAACGAGAATGAAAAGGCAGATCAGAGACAAGAGACAAAGGGTCAAAGAGAGAGAGGACAGAGGCCAGGGAGTGGGTAAAGTTGTGACACAACTGAACAGGTAAAGAAGTAAATCTGGAGCATCAGTTAAGGAACAAAAAAGTGGTAGAAAGGGCAAAAAGTAGAGAATGGCTAGAAATAACATATCAGGGAGAGGAGGACAAGGTTGACAATGACAGGGATAAGTAAAAGAAAAAACAGATCACCTAAAGGAGTTAAGCAGTAAGAGACCATAATCCAAGGAACCATGTAGGGCAGAAATAAGCAAGGCTAGAAGAAGAGCTAAAGTATCATCAGAAAATAGCTCAGTAGCTCAAGAAGAGGACAACATGGCATGATGAGGTAAAGACTATATGGAGTTGAGGCAAAAGGTCAAAGGAAAGTGAACTGCGAGGGGTCAGATGTGGAAACAGGGCAAAAGCAGCAACCTCAATCAAGCAAGGAGTTGGAGAAGTGGTGAAGGGGGAGCCTGTCATCAGGTGGAAGACAGATGTAATAGGCAGCAAAGTTGGAGAGTGAAACATAAGTGATAGCAGGGGCAAGGTGCAAATAAGACTATAATTAACAAAGAAGAGATAAACCATTTTCCCATCTCTCACCTCTTGTACATGGGAGACAGAGAAAGAAAGAAAGAAAGGGAAGACTAAAGAGAGCAGATGGTAGGGGCAGCTAGGTGGTACAGTGGATAGAGCTCCAGCCTTGGAGTCAGGAGAACCTGAGTTCAAATCCAGTCTCAGATACTTAACCCTTACTAGCTATGTGACCCTGGGCAAGTCACTTAATCCTGACTGCCTCACCAAAAAAGGAAAAAAAAGAGAGTAGATGGTAGAACCCATGGGAGTTGGATGGAAAGGAAGCAAAAGCAACAGCAGGTAAGTCCATGGAAGTAAGAGCCACAAAGAGTATAGAAAAGAAGCATCATGGACAGAAAAGAGGCCATGGGAAAGGGAGAGACAGTGACTAGTAGAGAAGGAAAGAAGAGAAGATGACGAGTGAATGGGACTCAAGAAATGTTTGAACAGGATACAGAAAGAAGGGGTAAATTTTAAAATGAGAGAAAGAATCAACACAATGTTAGAAGGAAGCAGAGGAAAAAGAAAAGAAAGGAGTAAGACAGTAGCCCAGAAATAGGAATATTTGCATTACAAATGTCTTACAATTTCCAGTTATTCATAATAATTAGAATAACTAGAAGGAACTTCAAGAATACATTCTGGCAACCATAAGCTAGTTATAGACAAATTAAATATTAGCAGTATAGCTGGAAGGTTCATTCTTCCAAGTTTTAGGGAACTTTTGCTCAAGTGAAATATGAAAGAATTTTATAAAAGGAAAGAGAATATACAGGATTCAGACATCATACAAAAATATCATTTTGGCAAACCTTAACACCAATGAAAAGGTATAATCTAAATATCTTACATTTGATTAAAGATATGAGACTTATTCAATATTTCTAAGAAGTCATACTTACATGATTTCTGCATTGTCTTCACAGAAGTCAATATGTAATGTGACTGGTTTTGTGCAGTATAGTCTAAACTTTTTTGCTCTATAAGGAAGTCGCATGAAAGCGTCTATTGCAACTCGGATGCTTAACGATAGCAAAACAGACATAGATTCATTGCATAAATACTGGGTACAAAGTAAACAATAAATGACATTTCATTCATGCATAAAAAGGTGATAACAATAAAACATTTCTCTCAAATATAACTAATTCAGGGCATTTACAGCTACATAAAGAACCCACCCATAAATCAGCACTTCCTTTTGTTAAATTAAGTTTCAAAGAGTTAAAGAACTCAGAGTTATAATATCTAAAGTACATTTAGGTAGTAAAAACAAAACAACATTCTAGTACAGATAAAAATTAGAAGGTTCATTGATTAATAAAACATTTTAATTCAATTTTTAGTACACAGCACAAATTTTTATCAAGTATTTTGGCAAATGAGCACCTCAGTTATTACCATTTGCTAACTTGGTATGTAACAGGTGGAGTGATGGGGCATTGATAACAGCATATTCAATATTTTAATCTCAATTCTTCCAAAACTTATGACAGTCTGTTTTTCAACTAAAGTGGTCCCTTAGCATTTGTAGCATAATCATCTGAATGAATAAATCGTTACTTACATAACACAGTTAACGAACCTCTTTAAACATGAAGCATCTCCTATCTCTTGGATTACTTAGGTACTCTGTTGTTTGGAGGTTTCATATTAGATGCCAAATAAGGTGCCTTCAAAATCTAATTCTATCATTCTTTTGCTTGGAAACTAACCAAATTTATGGTGTGACAGTTTCTCAAAAGAACCAAACTCAAAGAGAAAATCTAAATTATTTATGTACCTGTTAACAAAATAGTTCCCACTAAAACAAAAAACTGAAACAGAAAATAAGGAAGATTCTAGCAGAGAAACAGACCATCACAAAAATCACAGAGCTAAGAGAACCTTTCTCTCTAAGTCTAGATGGAGGTTTTTTTATTACAGCCAAGCTCCCCTACAGGCATAATTCCAAGATTTGCCTTTTTTCAGAGCTGTGAGGTCCTGATTTAAGTACAGCCCACGAGAAGATGAGTAAGAGAAGAAAAGTGTCCTTTGTTTGATCCAGATAGCCTACTTTTCCCTCCATTCACTGGGTATAGAGTTGAGCCAGCAAGTCTTTCCTTCTCAAAGCTATATAACACCAGTTCCTTTAATCTTTTCTCCAAACACCTTATACTCCAATACTTTAATATGAAGGTTTAAAATTTTTCCTAAAAAAACAAAAAAAATAAAAAAATAAAGGCTCACAAGGTCTACATACTTCTTCGATTTTACAGGAATATATTTGGCAAAATCCACCAGGAAGCATTCTGCCAAATAATGGTCTGCAGAGGACATGATTGACTTAATAACTGCCCTACACCAGCACTTCAGTTCCTGACAATAAACCACACAAGCCTGCAAAAACAAACAGATAAAAGTTTCTTGGTTGTACATTAACATCACAAATCACAGAATCATAGAATTAGAGAACTAAAAGGGGCACTGGAGAATATTTAATAAAAACTCCTTATTTTTACAGATAAGGAAATGGCAATTCAGCAAAGCTATCAAAGTGACTTTATCAGTGGCACAACTGACACCAGAAGCCAGCTCTCCTGACTTCCAGTTCAGTGCTCTGCACACTACTACATCTTGCTGCCTCTTGACTTGGGAAAAGTTTTGAAAAAAGAGAAGAGTAAGGAAATGCATTACCACTTTAAATAAAAAACAAGTTTCAAAAAACAATAAGTATGCTTAACTTCAAGGTAGCAAAAAGACCAGTAGTGCATTGTGTACCATGCTTTATCAGTTTACAAATCTATTATCTCAAAACAACCCTGTAAGGTTAGCAATACAAGTATGATGTCCATTTTATTGATAAAGAGGCTGAGGCTCAGTGAATTTAAGGGATTTGATCAAAGTCATACAATTAGCAAGCAGTAGGATAGGACCTGAACTATGGTACTCTCTCATATTCATACACACACACACTGCTTTTCTCCCCACCTCCATCACCAGAGATTTTTTTAAAAATAATTTAGCCCATATTTCAAAATTATGTTGGTAAGGATATTTACCTGTCCTTCTTCCAAGAGTAACGGCTTTATTTTTTCTACATCTTTATATTCACTATTGTAGAAGGCATTCATTTCAATATTTAACTTTTGGTATTCCATTTCATGATCTAAAAAGGCATCACATCCTTTTATAATAACCCAGAAGCATCCAGGATCTTCAATCTAGTTTTAGAAAGAAACAAAATTAGTGATTTTAGAAGACCACAAAATATATACAATCTATCGTGATTTATATTTCTTTAAAAAGGCTTCAAAATACAAATCTACTTTTAATAGATCTCATAATAATATACATATAACACATGTATTATAAAATAATAACTAATAGACCTCTTTTTCATTTCTTAAGGGATCTTAAGAAATCTTATTCATTTCTTGAGGGAAAAAGCTTATGAAATGAACAGCAGGACAAATTAGCCAGGGGAAGAAAACTAGAAAAGTATTAGTATATTATAAAGACAAATATAAACGACTTCTTAATGAACTGCACCTTCTTTTCACTCCCTTTGGAAGCAATAATCCAACAACATAAAACTCCAATGCAATCAACACCTTAAGCGAGGTTTTTTTTTATACTCCTGTTATTTCATGATGCCCCCTTCTGAAGCTCTGAACAGACAATTCTAACTGATGACCTAAAAGTTCAGTCATGAAAGAAGAACCTAATGAGACTTCAGCTAATATCCTGGTCTCTGTCTGCAAAGATTACGTTACTGAATTTGGTAATGGTAAGGGCTAACACTGCATTGTAGATACATTTAACCAGTCTCCCTTAAGACCAGGACAAGCCAAAATAACTAGAGTACAGTGTGTGATTATGAAGTAGTTTTTCTCTGATGAAGATAAGGTACTTAAACCACAATTTGGATATCATAATCTAAACAACTTCACCAACTGGTGTAAATCATGTCTCTGCCTAAGCTCAATATATTGCTTATCCACCCTTAACACCACTTCCAAACACAAAGGATTGTAAAAAAAATAGTCTACAAAGTCCCGTATCCCTATCCATAGTATTAAACCATCAAAGGTGCTTTTTAATTTAGAAATATTTAACATTAGCAAAACCCCAGCTTTTCAGAATCCTGCTTCAGCAAAATAAATGCAAGCCATGAGTTTAAAAATTAGCAAAATGCATTGTTCCTGGGAAATACAGGCTCCATTTTATGTGGAGCACAGAATCCACTTTAAAAGCCACTTTTCCAAATTATACAAGAGCTCCTCAAAGGATATAATACTGTTGATAACCCAGGGAATATGCTGTTTGGCTTTCAAATGCATTTTAATTGACATCTGAATATTCAGGGAGTTCATACTATTCTAAATCAGACTGAAGCCAAGTAGTTAAGGGCCCTTGCAAAAAGCAGAGCCACTATCCAAACTCCCCATTCATCCTTATTCTTTCCTGCTATAGCTAGCATCATCATCTCCCAGGCCAATGTAAAGTGCCAGGGCTGGCAACTCTTTATCAAGTTTCCACAGACCTTAAGTTCTGTCTGTTAGCATCAAAAAGAGTACATCTAGTGATGCATGAAAGTAATAGAATATTACTGAGCTGAATGAAATAATGAGTGTAAGGAATTCAGAGAAAAACAGCTTAGAAGACTAGGACATAATGGACAGCACATGCAATGACAACTGTAAACGAGAACAGCACTACCAGCTGTACTCAGTTGAAGCTTGACAACCCATCTTGGATAACAACTGATTAAATGTTTCTTGCCAGTAAAATGAAGGACTGCACATGTGGAACGTGGCAGAATGACCTCTTAGTACTGCTTAATTGCTTTTGTTATGAAGGAGAACTCTCAAGGAGGGTGTGGGATATGCTGGACAATGGCTGTTGTTGAAAACAAAGAACATTAAATATCTCTGACAGAGTCTGATAGCCAAGATAAATGGGTAACTAGTCTTCAACGGGAAAGTGGTAAAGGTATAATAAGGACAACATTTATCAAGAGAATTGTAAACTACTAAGATGTGAAAAATTGCTCTAAATCAAATAAAAAAAAGTGAAGAAAATGTCCGCACTCATAATCCACAGACCCTACTGCTAGGCATAAACCTTACACAGAAAGACGTCACATACAATGAAATAGTTTAGAGTGAGTCCTATATTTAGAGGAGCTGGCAGCAAATGGCCCTTGGGAAAACTAGGATCCTGTATAATACCTTTTGTAACTGTAAATCCAGATTTGATTGGACTGAGTTTTCCCCAATTTAAATTATTATAATGTGAGCTCATTTAAAGTCAGGACAGCTAGGTGGCAAAGTGGATAGAGCACGAGGCCTGGTGTCAGGAAGACCCATCTTCCTGAGTTCAAATCCAGCCTCAGATACTTACTAGCTGTGTGACCCTGGGTAAATCACTTAACTCTGTTTGCCTCAGTTTCCTCATCTATAAAATGAGCTGGAGAAGGAAATGGCAAACCACTCCTTGCCAAGAAAATCCCAAATAGAGTCATGAAGAGTTGGACACAACTAAAAAACAACTGACAACTTTTTTTTGTAGTGGCAAGGAATTATAAACAAAGACCCTTCACAGAAAGACTGACTAAACAAGTTGTGGTACAGGAATATAACAGAGTATTATTGCTTAGTAAGAAATGATGGTAATATGGAAACATGTTCTGCATGACTTCACATATCTAACTGATTTCAAAGTGCTTGCCTTCTCAACGCCTAGGAGAGGGGCTGGAGGGAGAGTGAGAATTTGGAACTCAAAATTTTAAAAAATGAATGTTAAAATATAAATATAAAAACATTATGACTATGAAGCATTCAGAGAAATATGGAAAAACTTGTATGAATTTATGCCAAGTGAAAGAAATAGAACCAGGAAAACAATATATACAACTACAACAAAAACACTGGAAGGAACTGTGGCTGTAGCTGTATTTGACACCACTGCTTTAAAACAGTACATTTTTAGACAAAATTTCTATCCAAGGATTAGCTCAACTAAAATGGCAAATTGAATTAGCTCATCTAAAAACTAAAATTTTGCCCCAATTTGTAACGGTAGGTTTCAAAAGGACTACAATTTTATAACTCTAAAATTTTTTAATTGGTTTTTAGAATAGTTACCTTAAGTATGAAAACTTCAATCATTTTCAGCTACTGAACCATTCTTCATCTGCACAGTTCACTCTAGCAAAAAAAAAAAATATCATCAACTATTAGAAATAAGTCTGGATTAAAGCCCAAATCTTTATTCCTCTACCTGAAGGAATTCTATTTCCATAGTTCTCTTCATTTACAATGAACACTCCTTCCTCTGCCCCTATCTTCCAACTTTGCTTCTGTGGCAGGAAAAAGCTTTGAAAGTTATTGCTGTCTCTTAGAAAAAAGTATTTCCATCTGAGACTCCCGATCTCATCAGTATGGATTCTCCACTCACTTGTGCAGATCCTAACCATGCTGTATAAATCTCTTGGCTTTCAGAGAATGCTCCAAAGGATCCTTTAAAGAGGCACCATTGGATGCAATAGATGACTATCTCTGGTTCTTCTAGTATTTCACGGACACAACCAAAAATGCTTTTGTAGTCCTACAGCACATCATTAATTCAAAGGGCCAGGGACCCCAATATTCTTCTAGTCTGTACCTAGGCTATGCAGAAGCCTTTTAAAATGAACAACAACAGATATAAAATTATAAACATCATACACTACAATAGATATTATGTAATTATAAACGATGGATAAAAAATGTAAACTGGGTTTTAAATACGTGCCTCCAATGATGACTTAAGAATTACTGTTTAGCTAGTTTCGTTTTTCCAGTTATACCTTTTTTTTGCTCGCTACTCAGATTTAAAAAATATAATGACTAACAATTCTGTGCCTTGCACTAGTTTAACATCCATTTTCTCATTTATCAATTTGGAAAAGACCTGGGAGATTACCTAATCCAACCCTTATTGTAGAGAGGGAAAGTGGCTCAAAGACACTTAGGGAGAAGAGGGGGAGAATGGGGAGGGGGAAGAGCGTAAGATGGACCACATTCCATCTTCGCCAACTTTCAGACAACAAATGCACGTAGCGAACACCCGACAATGCGGCTGCTACACTAGGCATCTCCATCGCTAGAACCAAGCCACGGGAGCCTTATCACAGCTGAATCCTTCCCCAAAGCGAGCCCTGCTTCCCCTGCACCTTCAGCTCAGGGTAGCCTTTTAGGGTGCCTCTCGAGGGTCTACAGAATCCCTCAGAACTCCCACGCAGGGGTCACTGCTCCTCAAAACTTGCCGGCAGGGACCCCCTCCCAGGCTACACAGACCACTCCCCGCAGACAGCCTGACACAAAAACCTCTCGAGGGTCTCTCCCCTTTTCCCCGGTGGTCTTCAGTCCGGAGAGACCCCTCCCCGCCCCCTACATACACCCCACCAACAAGGTCAGCGCCCTTCCTCCCCCCAGCCTGGCTCAGCAGACCACTGCAACCCCGGGACCTCGGCCTGCTCCCCGAAGCCATCCCTGCAGACCCCAGACTCCCGGGGGGGGGTCTTCTCCCTCGGCCCCTCCAGTCTCGTGGGGTCTCTCCTGGCCCACCCCGTACCTCTCCCTGACCGGCGCCACCTCTACGGGGCCGCCCTTGGGGCACTCCCAGGGTCCGTGGAGCCCCCGGGGGTCTCAGTCCCTGGCCTCCCCCCGACTCACCCCACAGAAGTAGCAAACTTGCCTCGACCCACGGCTACCCGAGCTCCAGACAAGCAATGGCCTCGGTACCAGCCCGGGCTCCCAGCTCCAAGCCCCACGTGGACAGTTCTACAAACTGCCACCTCCCAACGGGCGGCGACTGTACCCCCAAAGCCCAACGGTCAAGAGCCGGCTGAACGCGGCCAGAACAGCCACACCTGCGCAGCCGGAAGCCCGCGGGGAGGGCGGGGCAGCGAGAGGCGGGGCCTGAGCCGCCCAGTGTCCTAAAGGGGCGGAGCCAAGAAAAAGAGGCGTTAGTAAGGAGAGAGATTAGCAAAGGGGGTGGTACCTGGAAGGGCCTGGAGTTGTTAAAGGGAAAGGGCGAGGCCACTTAAAGAGCTAGTAAGGGGGGAGTTGCTACTAAAGGGAGAGAACCCGCAAAGGAGCAGAAAGGAAAAGGAATAAGCATTTATACAAAGCCTACCGTGAGCCAAGCACAGTGCTAAATGCTTTTTTTTAAAAAAACAAATGCCTTATTTCAATCAGTCAATAAACATTTATTAAGTGCCTACTATGTTCCAGGCAAAGATCCTCACAACCTTGTGAGATAGGTGCTATTATTATTCCCATTTTATGATTGAGGAAACTGAGGCTAGCAGAGGTTAAGGGACTTGCCCAGGGTCATACAGTTAGTAAGTGTCTGAGGGCACATTTGAATTCAAGTCTTCCTGACTCCAGGATCAGCACTTTTTCCATTGCCCCCAAGAGTCAGTAAATAGGTGGGGGTGAGTAAAAGAATGTCTGGTGAAAAGCAGTATCTGGGGAAAAGGGGAGAGAGTAGGAGTGAGAGCCTTATCAGATGGACTCAGATGGAAAAGTCTAGGGTCAAGGATAATATGTTGATTAGCAATCAAATTTTGGTAAAGTGAGTTACACTTTTAACAATAACAATAATAGGTAGCATCTACATATCTCTTTAAAGTATTTGTAATACGGAAACATAGGGTAGGGTGTCAGCCCCCAAAGAGTTCATGGGCTAATGGAGGAGGTAAGTGTCAACCATTACTGAGATCGATCTAAGAAAGACAAGCAACATTAGGCTGCATGTGAGTGTTTATTTCTCTCAAAGCTTGTGGAACATGCCGTAAATCATTTTGGGCCCCTCCTCCCCTGAGAAAAGCCTAAAATCTGTATTGGCTAAACAGGAGAAAGATATTTTGGCCCACTCTGAGCTTAACCTACCATAATGCTTTGCTCTTTGAGTGAACCCAAAATGCCCCTTCGTGTGCCAACAACTACAAAGCCAGATGAAGCTGACCAGGCGCATTCTTCTTTTTATGACTGTCAAGGAAAGGCAGGACACCTTGAACTGGATGCTATCTTGAATAGTGGAACTTTTCTTGTGTTTTCTTATATTATGTCATGTTAATGGTAAAAGAAACACAGACATCCTGGATCTATAATTTCAATTGACACCTTGACATTCTCTTATCTGATTGTATTTACATCTATCCTATTAAGAAATTCCTTTCTCACATTATGGTTAAACACATATAGAGGCTATACTTTTGGGTTGACATAGGCGTCCTGAGTTGGAATTGCTCTAAGTGTATAAAGATCTCCTTCAGCTTGTTTACGTCTGAGTTCAGAATTATTTTCTGACTCCATCATGCATGATTCTCTGGCTTAATGAGAATAAATAAGCACCTTATAGCACATGTACAGCCTGATTCTGTTTGTTCCTTGTCACTTAACCCCAATTGCCTAAAATTAAAAAAAAATTTTAAAATTTTAAAAATTGAAAAAATTGAAAAAGAAAATCCAGAGGATTTAGATATTTCTGGCCAGAAGCGGGCTCTACCCCTCTTCAGGAGGGGTGGGCCCTGAGTGCAAGGGCAAGTGTGCTTTTATGCAGTTGAATTCGGTGAGAAACCTCCCAGGCCTGGATTGGTCCATCCCTTCCCAGGTTACACCTTTCCTTACATGTTTGCCCTTGATATGCTCAAGTATGTTCCCCCTCCCTTGGTCTTACGTCCCATGACTCATTAATGAGGCTCTAATTTTATTCGGGTGTGTCAGATAATAGTAATGAAGTTCATTAAGCAGGTGCACTAACATTTTTCAGATGTCCTCAGGTTGACCCTAACTGGTCTGAGCTGGCTTGACCCATATCTTGATTTTGGTGACTTTATGGGAACCATCAGCTTACTTTTTATTGGCTAAGCCCGAGCCCACCTACAGTGTACTATTTCTTGGAGCTGTTCTTTAAATCTCTGCATTATTCTACTTGTGAAAACGTAAGCCCTTCTAACTCTAACAGATGGGCTGTAAATAAGTTGCAGAAGTGTCAAAGTGTCATTTGAAATTATAGACTCAGTATGTCTGTGTTTCTTCTATCATTAACATGACATAATATAATACAACATAACATGTGTCTATAGAATACCAAGATAAGAAAAGACCCATTATTCAAGATAGTGTCCAGTTCAAGGTGTCCTGCCCTTCCTTGACAGTCATAAACAGAAGAATGCTCCTGATCAGCTTCATCTGGCCTTGTAGTTATTGACACAGGAAAGGGCATTCTGGGTTCACTCAGAGAACAGAGCAAAGCGTGTCTGTTATGCCAGAGCACGCAAGGCATTATGATAGGTTAAACTCAGAGTAGGCCAAAATGTCTCTCTTCTGATTGGCCAATCCAGGTTTTAGGCCTTTCTCAGGTGTTGGAAGTTTGGGGAGGTGTTCACATTCAACTGACTCATTCATTTGTTCACCTAATATTTATTAAGCACCTACTGTGTACTTGGTTGTGGAGCAGATTCAAACCTCAGTTAGTCTGGGTCCCTTGCCAACATAGATCTTAACAGTTCTGTAGAATGACCGAAATTCAGATAATTATAACAGCATTACATGAGTAACACAAGTATCATATGACATGGCATCAAAAAAGACATTTGAGTCAGGAGGGGGGAAGAGAATGTTCCAGGCACATGAAAGAATTAGAGCAGGAGGGTGTAGTGCCGGAGGAGCTGAACAAAACTGGGTGGGGGAGGAGGAGAGGAATCAAGGGAAACTGGAACACATTCGAAATCAGGAGTAGAGCAGTGAGCAACACAAAGAGAAAACTTCTGAAGCATATATGATACACTTAGCCAACAAACATTGTATGCTTATTAAGTGATCCCAGGGGATATACAAAGAAAGGGGAAAAAACACAGCCCTAGCCCAAAAGGAGACAATGCGGAAAGACAATATGCAAATGACTATATTTACCAGATAAGAACCATGGAAATGGGAAGATGGTCTCAGAGGGAAGGCCTCTTGCAGAAGGTGGGATTGGCACAGAGTCTTGAAAGAAGGCAGAAAAGCCAAAAGGCAGAGGAGAGGAGGAAGAACATTCCGGACATGGGGACAGCCTCTGAAAAGGAGGAAGGGTCACGTGAGAAGTGCAGCAAGGCCAGCTGTACTGGACCATGGAGGTGGTGGTGCAATCTGGGTTGCAGCTCCCTCCCCAATGCCTTTCCAGGACCCCCACCTGTGGGGTACTTTCTGAAGGCTTTGGAATGGTAGGCTGCCGGACAATGGAGGTCCTTAAATGTTAGGTTTGTATTTTACACCAGAGGCAATGAGATGCCACTGAACATTTTAGATAGGGCAATGACACGGTCAGATCTCTGATTGAGGAAGTTTATTTTGGCAGCATTTGGAGAGGGTGGGTTAGAGAGGAGAGAAATTTAAAGCAGGTCGAATAATTTGAAGACAATTTGCAATGGCTAAGAAAACCTATGGCATAAATTGAAGAATATTTATTTACATTACAAAAATACATTTTGCTTTACAAAAGGATTCATTGTAAGTTTCCTAGTAAGCATCTCATCAGTACTTTGATAGATCTATGATTTTATAGGCGTGGATCTAAAACTGAATAATAAAAAAGTAGGCTGGACCACACTTGAGAAACTGCACAACATTTTTGCTGATTCTAATCTCTCCTTGCAGTAAAGGCCATCTTTGTAATCCTAGTATTCTCCCAGTGATGCCATATTACTGTGAATCATGACTTTCCAAGGGCTCCAAAGGATAAATATTGCAGAGGAAACCCTCTAAGGCAGAGGTGTCAAACTCAAGTTAGAGAAGGATACCTGCAGGCCACACATTATCCTGGAAAACCACAAACTAACATTATTTATGTTGTATTTTTATTTTTTTTAAACATTTCCTAATTATATTTTAATCTGTTAAATTATAATTTAATCTGTTAATTCCAGGAGTTCTGAGGACAGTGAATTTGGCATTTCTAAGGTATGAAATGAGATAACATTTGTTCTGAAAACCTTAAAAAGCTATATAAATGCTAACTATTATTATTGTTGTTAAAAGTATAAATCAGTTTACCAAAATCTGATCAATACTCAACACATTAATTTATTCAACAAATATTTTATTTGTGCTGAGGGATACAAAAGAGATTTCTGTAGACAAAGGGCTGAAACTGCTTTTCTTTTAACATCCAAGGTGGTCTTTGCTTCATAACTTTTCATTCACTCATTAAACCAATAAAAAATTTCTTAAGTACACAGTACTAAGTGCCAGACACTCTTTAGATGTTGTAGATACAAAGACAAAAACAGTCCTTGCCCTCAAAAAAGCTTATATCATATTGAAGAAAAACAATACAAACACTATTGTAAGCTAGGCCTTATACAGATTTAGGGTGAAGCTTGAGACTGAATGAAATGAGATACTTGTAGACCATATAACATTTAATTAAAGAAAGTCCACTTAGTAACAGTGAAAGGATATTCATCAAGGATAGAACATTGGTTCAGGTGGGCACAGCTCCCCCTTGTTGCTCCCCTCTGCGTTTACCACCATGGCACACTCAGATCAGCAGGGTATATCAGGCCTGAGGAGTTCCTTACTCCTCAGTTGGGCTCACACTGTTACAGTCTGAGAGGCTGTGACCCCTCAAAGACTGAAGTACATGACAGGGGGTCATCTGGAATGAATTCACAGACTCAAGCATTCTTTAAGTCAAGTTGGCAAAAAGTTTATTGTTACGCTTTTCAGTGGGCAAGGATTCTTAAGTATCCTGCGATCTTAAAGGGGTACAGTTAAAGTTTATATAGGATAAAATATGTGCCAATAAA